AGCTCGAGGAACATATTACTCGACAAACTGATTGCGGGTATAAAAACGTTGAAAAATCCAATATTTCATCTCAAACTGTTTAGTCTTAAATCAAATATGAAATATATTCGACCTTCCAACAATATTCGTCAACATTCTGCAACTATAACATCGTCGGCAAATAACATAGTGCACGCAGCGAGATAGAACCGAAACGGAAATGGCGGGACTATTCGCCTACCTGATAACATCCGCCTCTTTATTGGCGCGTGGATAACGACCACGTGGTAGAAACATTCCGTGTTGGAGTGCAGAAATCGCAGAGTCATCGTCACATTCTTTCTTTATGCCATTTGCGAACTTGTTTGCTATGAAAAGACCCCTGTAGTTTCCCAAAGAATCCGGGTATTCCGCTTCACCCCGAAACCAACCATTTGCAATAAAACGCCGAATTTTCTTATACATTTCCAAGATTTGTAACAAAAGGGTGCCCAAACAAAAGTGAGTCCAACCTATTCCTGACCTGGCGAGAATTTTTGCACAGCGGTTGCTTTCAAATGATCCTTAAGGAAATGCTCGAGTGATTCTGCACTTTTGGCAATTTTTGCTCTTATAATTGCCAAAATATAATTAATTATGTGGCTTTTGTATACAGACCGACAGTGTCTGACATGGTATCATTCAAGTTAAGTTTAGGAGCTTAACAACAGGTCTATTCACTCGAATAAGTTATATTTCAATGATACCATGCTGTTGTTAATAATAACGGACTGTACAGTCGCACACGGAGGCATTTCAAGAAAGTCGAATAAAATTCTTCGAAATGTCGTCTTGTCCCACGAATTACACCATTTTTAGGATAAATTTTCCGAGAAAATTCTCTCCATGCAGGAGAAAGCCACAAAATCTCGACAAAACCGTTTTCCAGACCGATCGTGTACGCTTACAAATCCACCAACGATACTGGCTCAATAACTATTTCTTCTTAGGACAATTCTTGAAAATGGTTTTCACAATGAAGAAAACAGTTTTTGCCTGACCAATTTCTACGATGCATAGAAACATTTAAAAGGTCTCCGTGAAATCCCTTTCGGGTCCAGACAATCTTTTACATTTTATCTCTAAAGAAAATGGTCATTTCTCCGGCCTGAGAAGTTATGAACCGAAGGTAATACCGTCGAGGGCATTTGGACATTAATTCGGGCATTATAAAGATAAAATAAGGTAAGGTAAAATAAAATGAGATAAGGTATTGCCCACTGGGCATTATTAGGCATTGGTGTACAACATTTTTGTCAGCGGTTTCCCCCTTCTAGATACACGAAAGAAAAAATGTATTTGAGCTGCACAACAGCAATCGTTTTGCAAACGAATAAAAGTGCTACAGCATAAAAGTACATAACTATTTCTTGGCAAAATATTTTGAAATATTCAAAGATTCGATGGTTCTCACAATAGAGAGGGAAAAAATCACTTTTGCCGGACAAATGTATGCGATGCATAAAAGTATTTAAGATTTCCGTGAAACACGAGTCTTGAGAAATCCCTCCCGGGTCCGGAAAATCTTTATATTTATTTGTAAAGAAAATAGCCATTTCCGACCTGAAAAGTTAGGAACAAATCAAGTTTTTCTTCCTCTAGATACATGCAAGAAAAAATACATATTTCAACTGCACAACAGGAATTCGATTTGCAAACGAATGAAAGTGCTACGGCATAAAAATACATTACGGACGTTATATGACGCGTAATGCGGGTACGCGATACGTATCTCAATTATTTCAGTAAATATGTGAATACAACAATACATAATGTTTCCTTGGTTTCTGAATTTTTTTTTGTGGGAGACCATTTCTAGACAAAGACATCAGTGTGGAGATGGCACTTTTGGAATCCTTGAAAAAATTTATCAATTTTTGAGTTATGAGTTTGCAGACGTTTCAATGCCCTTGGAATGAAATCTGTTTGAGGGAAAAGTCATTATTACATCGCGTAATCGTTGCGAATAAAGATTTCTGATAAAATGGTGTGACGTTGAAAAGCTGCTATCTCGTAGTAGAGCATTTTCCTTGACACGCGGTGTGTTTATGCGTGCTTTGCATTTAGCGTCTCCAAATGGTCCTTGCGTGACAAGCATTATAAAATGGAATTCTCGCCTGAAACCCCGACGTGAATTACAGGATCGCCTAAAGCGAGCTTAATGTTTGACTCGCGTGGATACATAACGAAATTAAAAAAATTATCCAGTCGCGTGTAAAAGTGCGCTTTCTACCAGGAACTGTTTAGGAGCTGGTTCAGCGGAATGGCCGGTACACTTTGCACACGTGCTAAATGTCACAATGTTAGAGCGTGCGACTTAACCCGCCAGCAGACTTGCTCCGAACTAATTTATTACACACGCTGTCGTAATTCGCATTCAAATTGTAGATTGAAGAGAGAAAAAAAAAGACACGGGAAAGAAAACCGTATAGATATTCGTCCAAGACAAAGGCGAGTCGCGGGAACAGCGTGAATTGGAAAATTGGACTGAAAAATTGCGTGGTTTCCGGAAAATCGGCAGAAGCCCAAGATAACGAACGGCACGTGATCTAGATAATCCGACGATCTATACAACGAACGTAACGTAACCGTAAAATGATCAGTCGGCGAAGAGGGAGAAGCGAGCGAATCAAGTACGGTTAGTTTCTCCCCGGATGTTCGATGGCCTCTTTCTCGAGCGAGCGGCCTTGCCAGGAATGCGCATTTTCTGCCGGTTCTCCGTCTATCCCTCGGCTTCGATTCGAATCTATATGCGCCGATGGCCACCTTTCACCCGTCGTCGCGTCGTCCGCGAGTGGCGAGCCTCATTATTCGAAACCGAACGACTTCAAAGTCGGTCGTTTTACGTCATCAGGAAATTCAAACAACGCCAAGCGCGAAAAACAACCGTTACACCTAAACGCCTAAAGATAGCCAGGCCGACTGCATAATCGAATCCACGTTGAGGAGTGTCCACGAGGGGAAATATTTCTTTCGTCCCTCGATCGTTCTACCAATATTTCTACCGACATAGGTGACCTTTAATCTCACGTTTATCTTTCTCTTATTCGTCCAACTAGAAGGAGATTAGATAAAATGCAAGTTAAACCGAGATTGATGTTAGCTGACATTGGTAGAAACAGACGTAAGTGTATTCAGCTTACGTGTCTCTCTTCGACAGAGGCGCAACAATTATATAATGTCGCGTAAACGGGCAATAACGTTAAGCCGCTTGCGCAAACTCCGAGAGGTAAGTAGACGAAAATCATGTACGCCAGATGCCTACTAATGCCCAGTGGACATTACTTTGTCGTATTTTATTTTCATTATGTCCCAGCTAGAGACCATGCAATCAGAGACTGGCCATAAGAGTTGGTTATGGGACTGGACTCTTATGACCAGACTCCGATTACCAGCAAGGGATCTTTGACCCAATGCCCGATGAATGCCCGAAGAATGCCGCAAATCGCAATACCCTCTCGGCCAACTCTACTTTCAATCCATGTGTCCAATGCTAATTCTACCATTTCCTTTTCCTTTGGGAACCTAGGAGGGAACGAGCGACAAGAGAGTGACATGTTCTTTACCTCAAGACTGACAATCGGAAAGAGCGAAGATCGCGTCGGTGCTTGGTCTAGCGACACTTTTTGCGTCGGCCGATTTAACAGGCGAAGCTCTCAACAAGTTTACTTTCAAGTTAACTTCGGAGCACCTGTTCCGTCATCGGCTCTTGGTTCGTCTCAAAAACGTACAACGTCCTACCTTAACGGTTTAGAACGGTTTCCAATTTACCGTTAAGTGCATCAACCGACAATGGACAGAATGTTTGGCATGCACATCAGATCTCGGAATTAATCGATCTGACCGCTTATTACTCGGCCATCTTACTCGAGGGAATATCCATTCGCAAGTCGGAAAGAGAAAGGTACCGACAATGCGAGCGAGTAAGCTGGCTGATGTATTCAACTTTGTTCGCGTTAGGCTGTTACATTTGTCGTACGACCAAATTTTTAAGCGCGTGTCCATTGGCTACGAGCTAGAAAATTTCCAACCGTCAACGCGTTATGGCGGAAAACATGCGTTACGCAATTTCACTCGCCCTTTGCAACGGATTCCTCGCTCAACGAGACGGTTCGAGAGGAGACCTTGAGCAGACAACGCACCGGACGTCTAACGGAGCATCGTCTACCGCATCCTCGGCGTAAAAACAAACGCGTCGCGATCGAGTTCCCGGAAAGCTTTTTGGAGCGACACGACGTTCCAAGACTCTCTCTCTTGGAGTCGCGTCGACTAAGGCGACGAGATATTCTTATCAGCGAATAGAAAGGAGATAAGATGGGCCAGGTATATCGACGACATATCATTATTAAAACATGGACGCTTGTTGATTTAAAGAATACTACATTTGAGAGATATCTCAAGTATTCACGGAATGTCGTTTCACTTAATCGGACCGGAAACGCAAATAATGCAGGGCCGTCGATTAGGAAGACCTGCGGATTAGGAAGGCGGGGGACTGGTCGGGGAAAGGGCGGAAAGGAACGATAAGCGTTCGGTCGTCCATCCCAAGGGAAGAGAGCAACTGTGCGACATTAGGACACACGTATGAGAATTTGGAAAGGAAGCGGAGAGCCGTCTCCGCTCTCGCGTGCAAGCGAAATCGGGATGACACGTGTTTAGCAGGCCAGCGCGCAGAGCGTGTCGCGCGCGTTTACTCGCCATTCGGTAAACATCGGGCAGAGGCAGGTCAGCGGCGAGCGACGACGTTGTCACGTGGCCGCTACCAGACGCCACTCGACGCCGCCGCGACATCTTCCGAAACTTTCAGCAACACCAATTTGCGTAATATTGCCACCCGCTAATATAATATTACGCGTCGATAATGACACGACGAAAAACAAGTGTCGCGCGAAAAGATTGCAAGTGCGAGTGAAATATGCAAGCGCGTGAGGAATGCGACGTCGGCGCGCGCGAGCGCGCGCGCGCGCGCGTGACAAACTCACCTATCAACGTGGACATTTCCGTCGTGGGCCGTCGCGTCGTCTCGGGCGCGGGTGGTGGTCGGCGACCGTTTACACTGGCGTTAGGTACGCGGCCGTATCACGTCGGGCACATGTTTCTCCTTTTTCCCCCTATTGACGCAACCGTCTATCGGCGATATCGCCCGCCCCTTCTTCTTCGTCGGTGCACGGTGACACGCGCGGTCGCATGAGCAGTAATCTCTATCGGGTGTGTCGGCAACGGGACGAGATTCGCGCGTTATCCCGATATAGTTAGCAGACGCGAAAAGAACGTTCCGGGGAAATTATATAACCTCCGCGTAGAACGGAACGGAACGAATCTCTTCTCTCTCTCTCTCTCTCTCTTTCTCCGTTGCGTTTTCGCGAGCGACGTTTTCGGGCGCGTTAGTAGCGATCCGAGCGGAACCCCCGGTCGCAGCAGTTGCGCTACGCGCGACCGCTAACCACTCGTGCCTCTCGTTAACGGAGGGGAGAAAAAAAAGAGGGGAAAAAAGGAAAAAAAAAGAAAGAAAATAATCGGGATCGAATCTTACATGCACGTTTGACGCGACACTGTCGAGCGGTCTCGGCAACGGGGCACTCACTAGCGAAGAATCGTAAACGCGCGGTCCGTGTCCGCGACCATATGCTCCTACCCGAAGAGGTTGCGAACGTCCAACGGAACGAGAGTGCGGCGCTGGCTGCGTAGCCGCCGATTGCCACATGTACCAACCCGAAGCGGCCGCTCGGCTGCCTCCGTGCGACTCCGTGAGGCGCCGCGTTCCGCGCGGCCTTACGATCCGTCTCCCTCTCCCTCTCCCTCTACGTCACTCCTTCTAATCTCTTGCCATCGTGTTTCCGCGACGTGCACGCGCGGAAAACTTTTCCAAAAATCTGCCGCGATTAAGTTACGACAGACAGCTCTCGTTCCACGCGCTGCCAGGATCGTAGTCACATTTCCTTCTTGCGGCATACGTCGCGAGGAAAAAAAATACCTATTTTATGTCATCCGTATCATCCAGCTATACATATATTACGGGAACGAATAGCGAAAGAGACATGTCTGGACCCACTATGGCGCCTCGATGTGGCTAGAGACTCTGTAATCAGAGACTGGCCGTAAGAGAGTTGTAAAGCCTCCGCTACAATGATTCTCGGTTCTGTCTACAATGGTCGTAGTCGTAAGAATAATCGACTGCGATTGATCAATTCTTATCGAGCGACTACGACTACGACCATTGTAGACAGAACCGAGAATCATTGTAGCGGAAGCTTAAGACTCGCAGAAATTTGACTCTCTAGACTACAGCGAGCGAACGTGGGTCTCGGAAGAGGGTTCGCGCTTCAAGAGACGATACATTCATTTCAATTGGATATACATTTGCAATTGTATCGAGCGTTGCAAGTTATTGTACAATCCTCTGGTCGTCCTTGGAGTCTCCAGACCAACCAGGCGCGCATCAATCTCGCCTACGCATTAGAATTGAGATTCCAGAAATCATTTTACCACGTGTACTGATGCACCGGTACAAATTATCGTAAATTACCGTTCGCCTAATGACTTGGTGCCGCGTCTAAAGATAAGCCTAACGACGAGCGACGGTTTCATTACAGCCAACTTGTACGTACGGTGAAAAGTCTCAGTCATTCTCACCAGTGCCTCGACCAATCGGAGCGCTTAGCGGAGCACGTGCGGAAAAGGCCTATTCCATTGTTTTGGGAATGAAAAGGAGGCTACACAAAGTAATGTTGGAAATATCGCCTTCATTTCCCAATTCCTTTAGTAACGCCGGGGAAAGAATCCCGAACAAAAAAAAAAGAGGGGCACATTCGACATTATCGCTCGTTGTTTCTTTCCAAGACCGGGCAAACGCATCGTCGATTACCGAGACGGCCACGTCGCGATTCGCACGCAGGAAGCTCCTCTCTGTCTCCCACCTCCGCTTTTAATAGGCGCGATTCAACAGTTTGCTACACGTCGTGCCGGCCAATCGTGGTCACCACCTCTCGCCCTCCTCGCCCGCCTCGACCGCCACGCCGCGCATGCTTATTATCCGTCCTCTTACCGTTTATTTCGCGCGGTGAAAAGCCGCGTCCTTGTTTCGCCGAGAGCTTGCGGCAGCGCGGAAAGAGAGAGGAAACGCGGAAGGGGGGGGAAAAAAAAGTAGACGCGCTACGCCGACACGTACCCGCCGATACGGGGAACGAACGAGCGTGCCGAGATAAGCGGCCGATCGTTCCGATAAAGCGTTACGGCGGCGATTTGCGTTAGCTAGAGAGCCAGGACGAAAGTGAAAGCACCGCGGCTCGAGCCGAATCTCTAGCATCGAGACTCGATCTCCCGATAAACAAAACGACTCCGCGGCGATGCCGTGGCGACGTTTCTCGGGTTACGTTCACGTTCGTGCAATTGGCAGCCGAAGGGACACGAAAACACGACCGGTTAGAGAGCGTAAATAGAGGCGCGTACGGGTCCGAATGAACGAAATTCTCCAGAGCATCCGCACATGCCGACGTCAACTGTTTACGAGATTGCGGAACCTGCGTCTTTCTTTCCAGCGAAAGCACGAGAAAAAGGGGGGGGGGGAAAAGCCCGAGGGCGGATCCCAGGGCGTCGTGTCGAGACGAAAAATAAGATTCGCTCGACCGGCGACCTAGCTGCAAGCCGGACGCGGGGGAGGGAGGGGAAGACGACCGTCTTTTCCTTCCGCGAATCGCCCGTTCGGTACTTTCGGCCTCCAAAGGTCAGTTTTCCGTTGGCACACATCGGCGCGATCGCGCCCCCCCCTCCCCCCGCAAAGGGAGAACTGGCGTGTGCTCGCTCGTTTTGAGTTTTTTTTTCCTCTCGCGGGCAAACTACACCTACTTCCGCCCCCTCCTCCCCCCCCCTGCTTACATCCTCGATCGAAACGTACTTTACGTACGTACGTGGACGAACAGTTGTTTAAAAAGAGAAACGACATACGGCACGCGGCATACGGCGACGTCGAGGAGGGACGTGGCCGTACCTCTTTCCTCGCGGCGTACGTGCCACATGCCGCGTGGTCGCCCTAACCTCAAACAAGAGTCTCTCTCGTGGGGCGAGCACGCGAGTGCGTGGGGCCCACGAGGGTGGCGAGTTTTCGCTCCGAGGCGCGTCCCGGCGAAGCTCGGACTCGTCCCGCCTCGGCAATGAAATAAATGGGACGGGCTTGCCAAGACTTACCGGCGTTCAAGAAGCGGGTGTTGGTGGTGACGACGGCGCTGTAGGTCTGCGGGGAGTGCACGACGGACTGGTTGAGGATGATCTGGTGCTGGTGCTGGTGCGGATGCTGGTGCGGGTGCTGCGCCGGGGCGTGATGGGGCTGCTGCTGCTGCTGCTGCTGCGGCGGCGGCTGGTGATGCTGCGGCTGCGGCTGGTGGTGCTGCGGGTGATGGTGATGGGACAGATGGTGGTGCTTCCCTTTGGTCGGCATGCTCATCGCAGGCGTGGGCCTCCCTCGTGCAAACTGTCCTTACGAGCCTGCGATCTCGGCCGATTCGCACTCATAGGTACGCTATTTTCCTCTCGTCGCGTATCCTCGCGGCTTCGACGACGGCGCGGACACTCGCCCCTCCCCGCCGCGCGCGGAGAAGACGTATCACGCGTGCGGTTCGTGTGCGCCGCGGCGATCGGCAGCGATCGGTAGAGGCGATCCGCGGCGCGCGGGGCACGATCGACGTTACGGGCGAGCAGGAGCGCGCGCGCGCACCCACGCACGCCCGCGCTCACTCGACCGCTCGACGGGGACGATGCCGCGTGCACGTAGGTACGGAGCGCGCTTCCGCGGCCAGCGCGCGGCTCTCCCACGTATTCACGGCCGTCCGTCTATCGGGCGTACGCGCGGCGATTGTTCGTTTTTCGCGGTAACCCCGCGACGTGCGCTCGCCCGTCCGCACAACAGAGAGAGGAACCTTCCGCTTGCGCGCGACCTCTCTTCGCATAATCACCGAGCCGGCGCCAGCCAACGAGGGGGACGGAGCAACGACGTCGGATCAGCGGGATGCAACACTTGGAATACGTGCGAACCACGCCGCCGCCAACTCGTAATGCCGTTATCACGCGTACTCGACCGCTCGCTCGCTTCGACTACCGCCAGTGCTGCCCTGGTTCCGTTCCGTTCCGTTCCGTTCCGTTCCGTCCCGTCCCGTCCTGTCCTAAGCCAAGTTCGCAATAGATGAATGCAAACGGGATCTGATGCCCGCGATCCAATGGCCGTTCGGAATGTGCCACTCGATTGGATCAGACTCTCGCGCTGTGCGACGAGGCTTTCGAACGTGTCTGCCGAGCAGCTCTAAACAGAGAAACTTTACAGGACTCGGATATTTTCGAAGGCCGGTTTTTAAAACTGCAATATTATCTTCATTTCCGCATCCCGTTCTAATGGTAAATACTAGTTTTCTCGAAGATCGAGAGATTACTGTAAAAAAAAACGTGTATACGTTCCGCACGAGTTTTCTACGTTGCTAACAGTTTGTATTTTGCGGTGACGCCAAAGTGCTCTAGAGCGAGCGAGAAAATTTTCTCTTCTTGAAACCAACTAATATTTTACGACGTACATTGTCCGATAGGAGGGATTGTACATTTCGATTCTTTTAATCTAACCTATACAATTTCCTTCCTGTCGTACGCTCTCGTCGCTCGACTCGTCGAAAATGAGTTCTCACGGAAAAGCAGAGACCGACAGGCTCAGAAAGAATTTGGAGGAACAGTTGGATCGACTTGTGCAGCAGTTGGAAGATCTGGAAGACTGCAGGTTTCGTCTGTTCCTTTTAGGCGTCACTTGGAACGTCTTTAAATATTTCTGTTTTTGAGTCATGCCAATTGTCTCGTCAACAGGGTTACTCTAGATGAGACGGATTATCAGGAATGTAAGGAGGACACTATGGAGCAACTCCGTGAATTTAACGAGAGCCTGCAAAGAATGATATCTGGAAATATGACTCTAGTCGATGAACTTGGAGCGATGCAACTGGTATAGATCTTTTAAATATAATTTCCCTTGGATCTGTCCATCCTAGAGAAATCACAGCGATATGTGTACAAGGGGTGTTTCTACGTGGTCTGTTGGTATATTCTCAACAGGCAACCCAAGCAGCTATCAGCGCAGCCTTCCAGACCCCAGCTGTGATAAGAATGTTTGGTAAGCGAGAACCTGCTGGACTCAAGGAACGCCTCTCGCAAATAGACCGAGACGTTAAACTAGGCAAATTGAACAAAGAAGCCGCGGATCGCCAACGGGGAGAGATATTGAGCGCTTTGAGGCAACTTGGAGAAAAGTTGGAACCGTCCGAATTACAGTTGCTGGAACGATTATCTTTAAATGCTATAGATACCACTGGATATGTGCAAGTTACCGAAACGGCAGGAAAAGGTAAAATGGCCCTAGATGTAGTCGGCAGGGAAGTCAAAGCTACACAAGAGACTTGAACATGATCATTAGTAATCGTTGCAACGATATCTTTTATTCGTCACTACGTTTCTTCAACTTTAGTCAAGGATCTTTCCTATTGAACGGCTTATATTCATACAATGTGCCCTTATACTACGTTTTTTTAAGTTTTCACAACTCGAAATTTTAACTTAAGTTCAATTTGCCATTAGCAAGCTAAATCGTTGCTGCAAATAAAAATGTGACTGTGCAATTAAATTGTTTCCTATGGAGTTTTGCTGTAATGTAGCAGCAATGCCATAATAATATGAGTGTTTGATAGATAAGTCTCTATTATAGGAATTTTAGGTACAAATATAAATAAGTAATCAAAAATATAAATAATAAGAAATGTATCGTACATAACTTTTATGCAATTACTTTCAGTATATAAACGTGAATAATTTTATTTTATTAAAATATTTACCGCATACAGTGCAACAGCTATATCAAATGAGATTTTGTAGTGTGCGTTAGATACAACATATACATATATATAAAGGCATCTTGTATATTGTTCAGAAGATTGTTACATAAATCATGAAATAAATATATTGATGTTTCTGTGCAACTTACCGTTTCTGTTTAAGGAAATTATATTTCAGTCTGATAAAGATTAAAATGAGAATTATAAAGATATAATATATCAAGATATATATATACATATAAATATGATGAATAACTGATAATTAATGACTGGATAACAATATACACATAATTATTGACAGACGTTAAAATCTGTTATTAATGTATTGTATGTATAATTAAAACTTATCTAGAAAAATAATAGATCAAAACGATTAACAAATCTATGCGTAACTCACGAATTATCTTCATAATCTTACAATCGTCCTTTCTTGCCAGAATCCATTGCGTAAATATATATAAATATCAATAAGTATAAAACTATGATTATTTAGAAACTATTTTGTTATGTTGCATGATACGAGTAAAAATAGTCTTTTAAGATTAAGATCTGCGTGTACATATAACAGTCCTTCCTAGAGAGGAAGTTTACAAAGGCATATCGAATTGGTGTCAAGAATATATTAACGTGCTCCTACAGGTTAACCTCTAGATATGTGTACATATATGCATACCTATTCGAAATACACTTTTATTTTTAGAGTCATTGATTAATCTAAGCCGGACAATTTTACTTATTTTCTCTCAATTATTACACATGATTCTCTCAAATTTGCAAGTTTCCTTTGCGATATGAAATCTATTATCAATCTTGTTCAATTTTATTTCTAAATCGCATACTCCTGGGATACTGTATACATGCGTACATATACACATATTCACACATATATACAATAATAGTGTGCATAAAAGCGTCCAGATAAACAAATGGAGAACATTTAATTCTTTACCATTTGGAAGGTGCTTGCACCTCTCCACATGTATATATTATATATTTACCTATATATCATGTATATATTATACGTACCTATATACAGGGTGATTTATTTTAATCTTATCAGGGCAATGATCTCTGTCTCTCGGGAAGAAAATGTGTTTGAAAAAAAAACTTCGGATGAAAGAGTTGCAGAGTTGGCAGGGGAACAAATCAGTTTCATGAATTTTATCATATTTGTCCTCTTCCAAACTGTACAACTTTTGTTCGAGACATCCTATATATCTATGATACGTATTATATATGTATAGATAATTTTTCTTCTTAATTTTTGAATGCTTTCTTATACATGATTGGACTCGTTTATATTCGTCACTTGAATTAGCGCTTACGCCTACATACCCTTTTATGTTCACGCTGCCAATGAACCTGTTGACAGTCTGTACTGCAGTATGCGGTATTCCAACAACAATGATATATCGCCTCAGCTTCGCAATTGTAACACTAGAATAAATGATAGATATTTAAGAATAGTATACTTTTCAAAGAAGAAATCGGAAAGGCACGAAAGTGAATTACCCATTGTTTCTTTTTGATGTCAGATACGATTTGCTGATGTCTGTCAGTTAATTGTCGCAATTCTTTGGCGTGCTCCGCTTGCAGTCTCTCTAATTCTCTGCACTTTTCAAGTTCTAATTCACGGCGCAATTTTTCCAGCGCCGTTGTCGTTGGCTGTTCCGAAGTTCTGCGTTCTCTTTTGATCTGTAAGTGTACGGTTGTCGAAAAGTAATTGGATAGTATAGCGAAATACGTGACTGAGCCGAACATTCACCTTGGCGGGAAGCCCGTCCGTTTGAATTTGTTCAGTTTGTACAAGAACGCACTTGGATCTCGGTTCTTGACAACTAGATGTAACCATATCTTCTTGGGAGCCTTCCTTCTTTAAACCTTGAGGACACGTGCTTGTTATGCTTTCTCTCGCGGGTTCATCTTCCGCCACAGGTAAATGAGGCACCTGTCTTTCTTCATTCTCGGCGTTAGTTTTTGCAACGTCTTCTTTATTATCCGCCCCATCGTTTACATTTTGCGTTTCAGTATTGCCATCCGAACTCAAGCGTTCGACCCTAACTCTTAAATCTTTAATCAGCTGCTTTGACAAATTAGAACCGTGCGATGTACTTTTCGAACTCGACGATTCCAATTTTCGAACTTTCGCAGGCGTAGGATCCTCTGTTACATTTGAGTTATCTTCCTTATTTTTTCCCAACTTTTGCAATAAATGCTGATGATGCTTCAGCTCTTCGAAAGCTCTGTTCCAAGCCGTTGATTTTTTTATCTACAAGAGACAACGCTTTTGGTTACATGAAAAAAAGAACAAATATTTTTGTATCAATTGCAAAAGTGCTTCTTTTTCGAAAGTATAACAGTTTCTAAATAGATTTCTTAAAATTGTCTCCTTTTCGCAATCGTGATATTATTGGGAATAAAGTGAATCTTAGCGGTGTTACAATACCGAGCGAATAGTAGAGAGTATTTTCACCTGTAAACTTTGTAACGTGGAAGAGATTGGCCGAATAAAAACTTTCTCGATATTAGCCCTCATGTGATGACCTCCGAAAAACCGCACATCATATACATTGCCGTTAACTTGCATGACTTTTGCCGGCCAATATGGGTATCCCTTTTGCTTGGCGTAGACCAATTGATGAGCGGGATTACACGGTATGCAGAACCACATTTTTTCCGACTTTTCGTTCGATATGCGATAACAATCCGCACAACGACGTATCTCCTGAAGGTCGTAACAACAGTCCTGATACATGGTACGTCCCATGTCCGCTATCACGCTATTAACTGCTGGAGCGACAAGACAACGAGATGTTTAAAGAAGAAGATGTGTCGAGCTGCGAGTCTCTTACCTCCGTGATATATCATGATGTTGTGTAGAATATTATGTGCATCAGCCTCAAATTCGGCGAGGTTGTTGTACTCGTTATTGATCGTTTTCGCGTCCATTATCGCCAGATCCATGTGACGCTTTATGAGAATTCCTGGCCGCCACGCGTCTTCACCCTCGCTCACCCAGGTCGGTCCGGAAAAGCCGTTGGGTGGTGTAACGATCGGATCATTGTTGAAGACGATGGTACGATTTGTAATCTCCGGCGGTAATTTCGCTTTTAGATGGCCACACGTAAAATTAAGAATATGATTGAGCTCGACCTTGTCGGGATACACGTCGCTATTTATTTTCTGTAACATAATTCGTACCGTTAACAAGATATCAATGTTAACGCGATATGTTGAGAGGTTTACCTCGCAAAAGCTACAAATCTGTAATTTCATGTTGCTGGGTCCGTGGCATTCCGAGTGATAGACCCTGCAGCACTGTTCGCAGCATTCGACCGCACCTGCTCGTTGGCACTTGCAACAGTACCAATCGTGATTATCGTCCTGCGATAATACGTCCACCGACGGCAGTCTGTAACTCTCTTGCTCGACGCCGCTTTTCGTTGGCACTTTCTTCAATAGGACGAGCCCATCCTCGACCGCCTTGTTCAGCTCTTCCTGAGCTTCTTGTTCTGTAAAGCCGTAAACTCGAGCCATGTGCCGTACCATACGGTCATTACTAGGTAAGCTCCTTTGATGTACCGTGATTTTTATCGTATCCCAAATCCGCTGAATCATACAAGGATCGCTTTTCCGGCGTACAGACATGTCGATGGCAAACTGTAACGAGATGTAATTAATGCGACTCGTTGGCGCGTCACCCAAGGCGCTAGCTTTCGTTAAATGTTCCATCTATTATATTTCTCACTCTGTTACTTCGTTGACCAATCTCGTCATGTAATTAATTAAGATGAATGACGGTAAAATTTCACAACAGTAAGAGTATAGATGAACCATTAGCGACGTTTACATTGATAAGTATTTTATGCCCTCATACGCTATCGGTCTGTACAGTTAATTTTCAGCTACGTTGAGCAAACCAACTGGGTACCCACATACGTACCGATATGCAGTACCCATATGCTTATAACAAGTGCTTTACTCAGTCCGCTTGTATCGATCTCAAGGTGTGGCAGTTTTACAAGTAATCGCCTTCGGTGAATAGAGCAAATATTTTTCATCGAGCAAGATATATACCACCGCATACAGTATGCATCCGACGGTGCTAGACGCAACAGGTTACACGCTCTTACTGTCCAGCTTTGTCGCGCTTGTGGTTCTATTGTGGAAAGGCTGTAAACGCAAGAGGACATCGCCATTCCACGTTCTGTCGGCATCTGACGTCCTAAGCGCCGCATTCACGGCTATTATACTGGTCGCCAATCATATCGAGACTGGGATGAGATTGAGCTACAACTGGCAGAACAGCACCGACAGCGATGCGCCCAACCTTGCGTGGACGAACGAAGAGGATTACCGATTTCCATTCTTACAGACTCATGGTCTACGCGGGGCATTCGAGGTCGATCGCAATGTTACTTTAACGTGTGGCATGAAAGACATACTTATGCAATACGGGCTTCTTCTCGCCGCTCTGACAAATGCGTTTGTATCTTCACTGACCTTTGCTGTACAGTGCAATCTCAATGCGGCATGTATAAAGAAACGATGCGCCGACATAGTGAAACCACTGAGAAATATTCAACTTGAACCGAACAAGATTCAAGTCACACGCCGAGAGAGTGAGCAGGAAGCGGCGTCTCCACAAGGAGACAGCGTTAACGTGAAGACCGGGAGCGTACAGGGGATTGTGGAGACCTCGAAATTTCCAAGATTGAAAGACGCCAAGAGGCCGACCGGCTTCCTCGTCATGAGTCACTGGCTCGTGCCGTTTCTCGTCGTGGGAATTGTATATTTCGCCGAATACAGCGATATGAGCAACGTTGAACATACGGAGGACCTCGAATGCGTATTTCACAGTAATTTTCCAATCAACAACTTTAATACACTTTTTGACACCAATGACAGTCTCAACATAATCGACTCCCTTGCGTACCTGCCGGAATATAATCATTTCCTGGATGAAAATTTATCAAACGAGTCCAAATCAAATAACGCAGAAATAGATGACGTTGTATCTAGAGTTCAGAGTATCATTAGAAATGCGTTGAGTTATAGGCGCAATTCTACCAAAAATATCGGAACCACACATTTTCTTAATACTCTTCAGCCCGCAAACTTGACGGAGTACATTTTCACAAATAATATAATCAAGTATATAAAAAGTATTACAAATATTAATAGTGTAGGCCGAGAGCCAAATGATACGCCAATAGAACAGGATACAGGCGTCCACAATTCATCCACAAGTAATAATGTAGATTTAACTCGAGATTGGGAAATACCGTTATTCCACGACGTGTCGAAAAATGCGTCGGCAGAATTGGACGCAGCTACATTCGGGAGCAGCGTGTCGGGAATATCGGTTGAAAACGAGGGTGACGATTTTCAAGGGGACGCGCAGACGAATTTGGCAAGTACGGCGGAGAGCGCGACTCGAACGGCTACCCTCGGGCAAAATGCAACATTCGTTTCCGACAATCAAATATATGGCGAGATAATAAAGCGTATTCAAGCCGCCAGCGTACTTTCGGCAGCGAAAAATCACTACAACCGCTCGGCGAGCCGTCCCAAGCTTAAGAATTACATTGCGAGGAGGAAGCCGAATTCAATGAAGCAACTGCTCTCGGACGAAAACGACAATCGCTACCTTAATGCTGAGACAAGGCAGAGTAGTTTGCTGCATATGAGCAACGAGTGCCTCATCTCGACCAAGTTCTTAAAACTGCAGCTGTTTGTATTATCTTTCGCGATATACTTCCTGCCGGTTCTGCTCGCCAGTATCCTACAAATGCGGGGAAAGCACATGTGTAAGAGTACACTCGAGACATTAAGAGGGAAAACCGACCTTTCTTCCACGGGTGACAAAAAGACTCGGCGTCAAGATTCAGAAGAGGAACCCGGCGCGCCACAGGGATCAGGAAACAGCGGAACGGACATGGGTGCTATAAAAAAGGATCGTGAGAGTCGCAGGGAAAATCAAAGTCTAGCCTTAGAGATAGATTGCATGGTAAGAACGCTCAGTACTATCAAGTTATCGTTAATTTTGTGCGTAGTCCTCTGGACGCCGGTCTTCTTGGGGACTCTACTGCGAGTGTACTCGTGCACCAGTGCGCCTCAATGGTTAACCGACGCCACGTTCTTAAGCGCCCTTTCCTTCGGCGTCGTAAGAAATGCTCTCAATATAAATATAATCAGAATTCAAGAGGCTTGTGGTGACGCTGGCACGAAAGAGAACAGGATACATCCGGCCCGACAAGCAGTGCTCAACAGCTAAAATGCAGAATGTTAGTAGTATAGGTATGGATTCTCAGTAAACTACTGTAAGCTTTACCCTGTTAAAAATATTGCAAGTTACTCCCTTTTTGGCGTATACCTGTTGCACCGATGGCAGAGAGAGGTGATAATACGAGTGAGAAATATTCTCTTAACGCGCAAAGGCGTTAAACCCGATCGCGAAGTCACTTTAATCGGCCGTACCATAATTTGTAACCAAAGTATCCCGCGTATCGGATAAAGTAAGTAGGTATAATGGAGTAATCGCGCTTTATACTCAAGAATATTCCACGCTTGTTACAATAAATATTGTGATAGTGCCCATATGCCAAGTGTATGAATTTGTAAGAGTACGCATAGATAGGCGGTCGCTTACTGTGCGCTTATCACTTATCGCGAGTGGAATTTCGGTCGCTATGCAGACTGCGTCGGATCGTCGGAGGGTTCCGAGATAAGCCGCGGATGCCCCTTGGAACGGGCTTTACCAGCGTCACGGAAGCGAGCACATCGGTCACGCGAACGGATTCCTCCGGTTCTCGCCGCCGCTCGCGACAGCGACCAGCAACGGGTAACGTAGCACAACAATTAACATCGGGGGACGCAAGTACTGTGCGTACGTCACGAGCCCAACTTAACCTCCTCGCCAGCGCGCTTAACAATGCGCGCGCAACTTACATAATTGCATATCGACAAGTTGTTTCGCCGCGTATCGAACCGGGGAAAAACGATATCGCGCGCGCGCGCGCGCGTTTCCGATTCAAACTCGCGCAGGTTGCTCGCTTCAATAGCAAATTTATTAAATCGCTGCCAAGCTTGTTTAACGAAATTTACTAAGATCGGTCGCGAGCGCATTTTAAATGTCAGGATTTACAATTATCTAAATCTAATTCAATTTGCCAATTTTATTTTTAAAATACAGTTACAACTTACTTGTATGTATATACGTTTATGTATGCCTGTGTGTCTGTCCGTGTTTCACAATCAGAACTGGTGGTACAAGAGAGCGATCCTCTTCTTGTCGGTATCATTAGTTCCGAGATACCCTGTGTGTACGCAAACATGTAATCAGCAATGTCAAGTTTATTACGTTTTCTAGTGAAATATTATCTCCGGATTGTAATGTAATGTAGTTGACACGCCATAAAATAAAGAAAAGGAAAGGAAATTTCATTATTGAATGACGCACTCGAAACGCAAGGTGCGGACAATCCAACTGTGCAAATTGAGAAGAGCGACGTATCTAACGAAGCTCTATGAACTGCTCCAAGTTGCGCCGTAGCTCCGTACCGTCCTGCCACGGGACAATTTTCGCCTTCGTCGACACGGAGGTGGGTAATTTGTTGAGCCGATCGAGCAGCGGATAGCCCTTACGCGGACATGCCAGATCGGCTTCCGAGAGACGCAAGATCGGGCAGAGATCGTTCCTCCCGTCGCCAATGTAGACAATTCTCTCGTAGCTCTCGCCTCGCTCGCGTTTGTCCTGAATATAGTCCATCAGCACCTGGCCCTTGCAGAGATTGACGGCGCTTATCTGGCACGCGTGCTGCGTCCGATACGCGTCCACCCTCAGCCTGCCGTCGTCGTCGTATCGGGCTGGGTTCGTGAAGACGCGCGACACCGCGCGTTCCAGTCGTTTGTTCCTGAGCCAGCAGTCTATGAACACGCTGTTGGAGTCGCTGATTACGACGATCTCGTGGCCGTTGGCGCGCAGGCAAGCGAGAAGCTGCTCCATCCCCACGACCGCGGGTATGCCGGCGATAACGTCCGCAATTTGGCTCGCGTCCACCGAATTCTCGTGCAGCAGCTCAAAGATCCTGTTCATGTAGGCCAGCCAACCGTCGGACTTCCGCAGATTCTGCACATCCTTGGCCGATACTGTCTCGTCCGACAACAAGTTTTGCACCACCACGTCGGTGTTGTCGTCGCAGATGGTGTGATCGAAATCGATCGCCACGAGCACGCTGCGACCCATCTCTGCGTCAATTAAAACATAACTGTCGCGCCACACCGCCAGGCAACTTGGGCAAAATTCACTACTTGTGCATTCGAAACATCTTTACTGTCTTGGAAAGTGGAGAAAACTCCAAGCTCATCATATTCTAACGTTTGAAACAGGGACTTGCTTACTATACATACCAAGCCAAGAAAAATGGCACTCGTCGCTTTCGCCCGTTTTACTTCCCCATTTCCGACGGGATTCTTGGAAATATTCAACTAAACTCACTTGGCGGATGTACAGGTTGAAGAGCCACCGGGCAAGACTTGGCTGCGGGCACTCTTGCCAGAGCTGAACAAACAATGAGAACGTTACGTTGTTGTGTTACGATCCCGAAATAATTGTTACGATCGCGGTGAGCCTTTTGGCCAACAATCAATGACAATCGGCGGGAAACCGTGGCATTGCGCCACCACCACATTCTAACCGCTTCTAGCCCGTTCGCACGCAGTGGGTCCGCATTCTATCGTATCTCGGCAGCGTCGAGGCATGGTCGAGGTAACCTCCAAGAATATCGAGAGACAACGCGAGACAGCGAAGTCCACGGTAATATCCAGTAATATCGGATCGATCCAGTCTAGCGGCCTGTTGACATCGGATACCCTTTCCTTTCCTCTTCCTGCTCCGTTCGGTGCCTTTGTCTCGGACTTTCGTAAACAAACGCCAGTTAAGTAAACGCGCGCACAGCGCACGCGTGGCGGCCGGTTTGCCGCCAATTCTCGGCGTTTTTCAGACCTTGAGAGGTTCGCTCTCGAGAGGACTTGAGGGAATCGTGGCAAAAATTGTCTTCTGCACACCTTCTCGATCGTCGTAGCGATGTCAAAGTACAATTTGATGCCCGCTGGTATGTCCGACGACGAGGACGACGACGACGACGATGACGTCTTCTTTCCCGCGGAGGAGGTGCGGTTATTGCACAGATACGCGTCAATTTTTCTTCACATGTGACAACGTTTTCCTTACAATTTCATCGCGTTCCTTCGACAGAGAAAGCCTGCCGTTAAAAAGACTAACTATACTTCGTGGAAGGACTCGAGGAAAGATGAGGCGAAGACCGTCGAGGTACACGATGAGAAAAGTATCGTCGAGGATAGCCTTGTGAAAGCGTGTACGATGGGAGAGTTGAAAGTGATAGAGGAATATCTCGAACGTAAGCGTCATAATTTTACCCGTGGAAAAAATGAGTAACTTTCTCTGTTATTATCAATTAGAGATTATTACACCAAATGTTTTTGTCTAGAACATGACATCGACATCAATAAGTATCTCAACACTGGATGGACTCTATTATTGTACGCGACTTCGTCGGTAGATCCAGAAGTCACAGAGTATCTCTTGGCACATGGCGCAAACCCGAATAAGCACAAAGGTATGGATCGATGATATTTTGTTCATTACTCGGAGCTTAACATAAGATTTGTACAATGGCCAAATTATGCAGATGGATTTACGCCTCTCATGGCACTATGTAATTCCATGAAGGGAACAACAAAAAGATCTCTCAAGTGTCTCGAGCTTTTAATACAAGCAAAAGCTGATGCAAACGTTACTAATAAGCGGAGGTAAGTTGAATATGACGTACGATGAGGAAAATGTAGGAATTAATGTCTGTGCGATAAGTACAGATCATTATCAGTGTATTACTAACTTGATTCGATGAGTACTAACATTTATAATTCTTACAGAGAAACGGCTCTAATGTATGCGTGTAGGTCACACGACGCGGAATTCGTCATCGAGCTTATAAAATATGTACAAAACATTGATGCTTGTGACAGTGATGGAAAAACTGTAAGTTTTTAACGTCATTAAGCACTATTAAAGTTACTCCTAAATTCTCAATCTGATTATAGGCATTGATATATGCTACTACAGCTAATAAGCCTGATAATGTCAGAATTCTTTTGGCGCATAATGCAAATACTTCGCTGGCAGACATATACAATTCATCTGCCAAGGAGATCGCAGAAATCAAAGGATTCACCGAGGTAATTGACATCTTGGCTCCATCGTTAAATTTTTTTTCAATATTTTCCCGTTATTTAGATACTTGCTCTATTGGAGGGAGACGAAGAAGACGAAGAGTTTATCTCTGACGAGAAATCCGAAATAACAACTTGGCAAGATTTATTTCCAAATTTATATCCCAGAGATAAGGAAGCTTTAGATTATGATGTATCAGTGATGCTGTATGGAATGGGTTTGGAAAAATACAGATGTTTATTCCGAGGAATGGATATTAAAACTTTCTTGCAATTGAGTGAAGATGATCTTTGTCGCTTAGGAATTGATATTACTGTTCACAGAGACCAATTTCTAGAAAATCTTGAAAATTTCCATAGCAAGAAATGGCGTTTAGATACTTTTGGCAATATTAGAAAAATTATGTCATACACGTATGTTTTATACTTGTATTATTTTGCTAGAGATATGTGTGAAACAAAATTAATATTATATGCGATAATTGTATACGTATGGTTACAGAATTTACAACGGTGTACTATCGTTATCAAATGCAAGAAAGCAGATTGGCGTGATATCGTCCAGTTTCCAGTACATCAAAAATAATTTGCTGAAAGCTGCAAGTGAAAATATCGTTTTGTCACCTGTGAAAAGAAAGGAATACGAAAAAGAACTAAGAAAAACACAAAAAACCTTAAAACTCTTAAAAAATGAGATAGTACAATTAAAAAAACTAGCTCAAGAGGTATCGTACTATAAAGCTAATATAAAGCCTAAATATAATTTTCTTACTATTCAATAGTTATTGTATTTTTTACCTATATTGCAGATCGATAAGAAAGATAATATCGGTGTACCGGCAACTTGGATTAGTCCCAAGAGTAAATCTGGTTGGACTATGACGATAAGCATTACGTTAATGGTAGGGCTGTACTTCTGCAAAAGAATGTATTTTGAAAGATTATGGAATATGTACAACGTTAAAATATCTTCAGTGCTTCGTTTTTAAATATAGATTTATCGTACTTGTTCGATTGAATTATAAAACGTTACATTATTTTATAATACAAATAAACCTACAACATATATTAATAATATTTTAATAATATACCCATATACACATACTCGTATGTATACATACATAATTACAACTTAAAATTCAAACTTTACAGTTGATATACATTTGAAAAATATGCTTATATTAGCAACTATGTTTTAAATATATTTATGTGTAGTGCACATTTTATTGACTCGAGTGTTCTCTCAAGTTAGCTAATTTCATCATATGTGGGAAGAGAGGATGAAATGATGGAAGATTTTGTTGACGGACTGTTAACTGATAACGTTCCAATGGTCCACTACATAGTGCTAATCTGTCTCTTTCGTTCGGATGGCTGTCCATCCACTGAGATAATCTGCCTACAGACCATCCGGCGATCTGCGCAATAAATATAAAATTTTGTTAATTTTTTCAAAATCAAATGTAATCGTCTCTTTTCTAACAATCTCTATAAAAGCAATTCATCTTGACGAATTCCATCTCACCTGATGCGGTGACGCTAGTTCAGGCGGCGCGCCAGAAAACAAATGCAGAAGAATAAGGGACGGCGATACACTACTCTCTCCTTGCCCTTCTAGAATTTTTTCCACCATCTCCTCGGGACTGAGAGGAAGTAAAGTTTTTAACGCTCGCAAAGCTCTGTATTGCTGTTGCTCAAGCAGACCCATCTGGCCACCACGGCATAACGGCGTCACGGCTATTTCCATCTAAAACTTTCAATCTGTCTCACATGTATCTACCCGATACGTTTTGTGTAAAAGCGACATACCTGAGCGAAATCTACTAGAAGTTTCGCTTTTCCAAAATCAGTCAGAGGTCTCAGCAAGCAAGCATGACGTACAAATAACTCTATACATCTCGATGCGACAGCTTTACAACTTTAACAATATCATGTTCCATTTAATAATTGGTTACCGATAAACGACGTACAAGGAGAAACAAAGTAGCTTACCTTTCAGCTACAACCACTTGATTTTTGTACGGTAGTAAGAATGTATTCACGGATCGTAAGATAAAGCCTTGCAGTTCACGCATGTAAAGAGAACAGCCAATTTCCTTGCCCAGAGGACTGCTTGTGCTATGTAATCAAAGTATCCATGTGTTGAGATCGTCAGACGAAAATGAAAATTAAAGAAATAAGAACTTACTCTCTGAATTCAGGATCATCGTGCATCGTTAAAATAATACTTTCGATTGCATCGCTAACAGAACTTAACAACGGCGCAAGCAAGTTCTTCGTTAACTCGTCAGTTTCCTTGAGCGCCGTGGAAATGACAACGCTTCCCTCCGAAGGTAAGCCTCCCGCCAGATTAGCTATCACGCGATTTGTCTGGCTAGAAAGATAATGAAGAAGATTCGCGAGCGTGACATTTGCTTGTTGACCAGTAGTAGGGGAATCGATTACTTGGCTGGCCTCACCGCCGGTCACTACACTTTGCTCGCATTTTAAGCAGAATAGTCTTATTGCTTTTCCCACATTTCGTGACACCACGGTCGAGAGTCCATCATCCACCAGTGATACGCTCAGTTCACTAGACAATATGTACCTCTGCTATGATGTTCTTCAATAAATAAGATACGTGCGTAGAAAACATGCCAGACTTACTTTGTAATCATACGTATGAGACTGTCGATCTCGTCATGAGTCGGTAAACCTTCTCCAGAAAACATGTTGTGAACTGGATCCAAAAGTCGAGAGACCGAACGCGATAAATATGCATTTTCAAATGGTAATAAAACATTGTGGCTATATTAAAAACTTATACATTAATATTGAGCTTCGCTTGTAGTTACGTCAATTTATATTGTATTACGAGATGTACTTACTCGATACTGTAAATCCCGATACTGTGAGATCTCTCTTTTAAGCGTTTACTCAAGTCTAGAAATATTCTTAAAAATTTGGGATACTCTCCTTCGAGGGCTTGTTTTACAAACGATGATCCTACAAGACCCTTGATTAAAAATTTCTTTAAATCAAAAATTGAATATATATATATTTATAATTTACCTTGAGCACGTTCAATTAAGACTTTCGCAAGAACAGCGTTTACTTTATCCCAAAATTTCTCGGATAAATCGTGAAACCCCTGCGTATGGTGCTCCAACAATACTCTTTGCAGCAATTCAATCTAAATATAAAGTAGCATTGGTTGAAAATGACTGAATTAAAAATGAGTAAAATGCACATTGTACGTTGTCTATTTACTTGCAGACAGTGCGTATATAAAGTATCTTGGAAAAGACGTTCGAGATTTTCCCATATTCTCGTCCGTAAATTTCCTGACGAACCGGGCGATGGAATTGCAGCTCTACCAGGTGCTCCGCGTTTCCCGAAATCCTGGTTTGTCACCAAGGATACGTCTAACGATTCTGTGGAAATTCTTTCTATGTCAGCCAAGGTAGATTCTATAGTTGTGTCTACGGCGCTGCCTATTATTCCCAAGTTTTGAAAGACCTGCACAGCTGTGCTCACCTGTCCATACGTATACATTAGTGCATATATTATTTATTAGACTCTCGCTGACGCGGCCTCGCGTAAAAATGTGCCAGATTTATGATAATGTCGGATTACTGAGAGTGCATGAAAATTTTATAGCAATTCAACATCAGCGAGTTTTAGTAGTTCTTATTCTATTTAGGGTAACAAAGTGGATAGAATATATAATTTACAAACATACTCATTTTTAACATAAAATTTGAATTAAACAATATGTTAAAAATACATAATTTTTAATAATAATAATTATAAAATATATAAGTCCATACTATATTCCACCCAAAAATAAAAAACAAACTAGTCACGACAAGCGGCCGGATTATTGAGTTTACTGTAATTATAATAAAGTAAAATTGTATTAACATTAGATTTCGTGTGCAGATTAAACATTATTAGCTGTGTAAAAATAAAATTATACACCTTCGCTCTGTCCATTGTCTGTAAACCTTGCGTTAGAGTGTGAGTGGCTATTCTTTGTACTGTAGCTCTCTGAGCCTTTATAGCCTGCTGGTCGTCCGCGATTACATCTAAGCCATTAAGATCCGTGTCTGCCATTAACTGTTCTGTAAATTTTACAATGTACATTCATACAAGACTACATGATGAAGAAAACAAAAAATTACATACCAAGCTCGTGCAGACTATTAGCAGCTTTAACAATATCTGGCCCTTGAGTAATGCTGCTCATTTGAGAGTTTAAACGTTTCGATAAATGTTGCATCCTAGAGACTCTTCTCAGAAGATCAGAGGTTTCGTGAAGCCGTGCTAATACAATTGTTTGCATTTCGATTCTGTTAAATGGATCGATAATCTTGCCACGTAATCGCTCCACTGCAGACAAGAGGCTCTGAAACCAAAGTTATTAAATATTATTAATTTCGTACAGCTTATTAAGTTGAAACAGATAGTAACGTTTTCTTACTCACTTGTATATGAGACTGCATTATAAAAAGCACTCCTTCTAATTTTTCCACCCATGTTGCTTGAGATAGTAAATCTTCGTGATTCGCAAGTACTTGCCTTTGCAGCTCGGCATTCAGCACCTCGATAGCTAGAAGCAGCGTTTACTGTTTCACTATTTTAAAACAATAAAACAGTTTAAACTGTACCTTGTCCCAATTTGTTTAATTGTTGAGCCACCGACAACAATGGCTCTACGTCAGTCTTTTTGAAATTCACATCCAGCAGTTGTTTGAAAAACTCTGAAATTTATGTGTTTTGTGAACCACATAGATATTCGTGTAATCATAAATTCTGATTTGGCAGATACAGGCTTTTCAACTTACGATCGTTTTCAATATCTTCCCAACTTGATATTTCACCCATTTTTACATAAATGATTACAAATAAACGACACCTGTGTAACCTGCAAAGCTGTAAACTTGTGTTGACAGATCAAGTGATAAGAGCAAAGTGCCGTGCGCATGCGCGCGCGACTACTTTTTGCCCACAATTCCTTGCCTTGATCGTGTCACCCTAATTGGCCGATTTAATGTAAAAAATTTTGATTGGCTGATTCAGTGGAAAACCATGAAGCCTATCACACAATGTCAGGCAACAGGCAATAGGAATAGGGAATAGAATTTTTGACGCGTTGGATTCGTCGGAAATTTTCGTTCAACCAATCAAACGCGTCAAAAATTCTATTCCCTATTCCCATTGCCTGTTGCCTGGCATTGTGTGATAGGCTTTATGCACCGACATGTAACATAAACCATGGATGTAGGAAATTTCTAGATGAAGCTGGACTTTCTACCCGTATCAGACTACGGGTTGAGATTGAGATTAGATTGAAATTTGGTTTATGAGATTTTCGAGATTCGAAGTTTGAAATTCTCGGAATTCCAATTCTTGGAAATATTAAAATATTCTTGGAATTTTAGATAGTGCCACCTCTTTGCTGATCATGATCTCCTGATACTTTTTCAGTTTTCGGGATTCTCCATTTTCGCGATTTGAAGTCTGAAATTCTCGGAATTTCAATTCTTGGAAATACTGAAAAATTCTTGGAATTTTAGATAGTGCCACCTCTTTGCTGATCATGTTCTCCTGATACTTTGGCAGTTTTTTGGGAATCTCGATTTTCGCGATTTGCAATTCTTGGAAATACTGAAAAATTCTTGGAAATTCAGGTAGTGCCACCTCTTTGCTGATCCTGTGCTCCTGATACTTTTGCAGTTTTCGGGATTCTCGATTTTCGCGATTTCAAGTTTGAAATTCTTGGAAATTCAGATAGTCCACCTCTTTGCTGATCCTGCGCTCCTGATACTTTTTCAGTTTTCGGGATTCTCGATTTACGCGATTTCAAGTTTGAAATTCTTGGAAATTCAGATAGTGCCACTTCTTTGCTGATCATGTTCTCCTGATATTTAAATACTGCTGATACTAAACATACCCGTCCAAATTCAATCACACGTAGCATCAACCAAAATGTAAAAAATCGTAATTTTTGAATTCCAAGTTTAAAAACGTATCTCTAAAGGCCTGTGTCCGCGATGCTAGAACTTGGACCAATTAACTTGCAGCTTTTATGGAATATTAGAAATTGGACCAATTTCTCGCATCGTGGATACACTGGAGCACTCGGGTGGTGTTTCTGAACGCGTCACAAAGGGTGCTTTCCAGCAACGTATACAGACACTTGACGACACTGTGTAACACAGTGAATCGTTTTATCTTTGTGGTTTGCCATTATTAAACGAGGATAAAATAATTCTCTTTACATTCTGAAATTGTACTGATTCGTAACGCCATCATGTTCATTTTAATGTGGACGTAGGAACTACGTAGCCTCTACATTTCGAGATGGTAAAACGCTATTTGGTTTAAATCCGTGCTACGTGCTACGTGCAGTAAAAAGACCCGAGAAGTGAGTCAATGGGAATATACACGGCAAGAGAAAGCACGTTCGAACCTTGGGCTAATTTCAGATATATTGGAACGAGGAATTTTCGAATCTAGCAGCCCCGGGGGCGGGTGCGAGCCTGCCTGCCGAGATTTGCGTGTGCGCGCGCGTGAGCGCGAGCGCCTCGCGCGAGATGTTTGGAGCGTCTGTCAAAAGCGCCGTCAACGGGTCGTCGCTGATGCACGCGGAATCGGAGTCGGCCGACGCGAAGGAAAAGAGTCTCCCGGTGGTCCGCGGCTAATCGAGCCGTTCCGGGTTGCACCTCTCCGCTCTCGCCCGTTGAGAATCGGGAACAACGGGTCACATCGGTCGCGGAACAGCGGAACGGCGGAACGACCACTTTGTGCACATTGGATTCGTCTGACCGGTAAGTTGGATTTTTCCGTCGATTTTTCCCCCCATCGAGTCGCGATCTCGCGCGCTACAGATCCCGCCGATTACGCCGATTCCGCCGAGAGCGCCGGTTCTTTTCTCCCGTGGAAAAAGGGCTACCTTTTATTTGCTTCGGAAGAATCGAACGACCGCGTAACATTCGATCTTTCCGAGCGCGCTCCGAAGGCTGAAAATAATAATAGAATTGACACAGCGCTGATGGTCGAGCGCGTTAGCGTCGGACGCGCCAGATTATTTTCAATCCCCGGCGGAACTTGATTTGTTTCGCCGCAATCGCACCATTTCATGCCACGACGAACGTCGACGCCGTCGACGGTTGCCCGATCAGCTGATCGTCACTCGCGCGGCCTGGTTTCTGACATAACCTGTGAGGACTTTGTGCACGCGAGTCGCGATGCCCTGGGCGATGGACAATGGAGCCTTGGTCACTCGTCAATTTTCTCACGGCAAGGCGAATGATCGTGATTCTTAAATTTGATAAAATTTTATCTATTTTCGCATCCATCAAGATTTCATCCTATCAAAATTTAGTAGGTCAAGTTCTAAAAATCGTCTGTTCCGAAATTCATAAGAAATTAAAAAGTAGGTTAAAACATAGAATATTCTATGCATTTTTCTAACATAAAGAAATTCCTCTATATTTTGTTTCAACACGCGAGAAAATCCGATTTCCCGAATCTGTCAGTTTGCAAACGTAATTTGACACAGTAAGACTTCACCTGCGGTACGTCCGGGATGGGAAATGAAAATCGATTCGGATGGACTATCGGCCATCTGTACGCAAATTTGTTGTAAATTAATAGTAATCTTTCATTTCATGCGATATCAGTTTTCAGCGATTCAACTCGTATTTGTTTTTATGTATATAATCATAATTATTAATCGCGTACACTTACAGTTTAATTAACAATCATAATTACTCCAAAAGATAATTGCCTCATCAAGTTTGCGACATATTTTTAAGTTTTAATGCCGCGTCGTGTCGATGTTATCTTTAAAATAATTTCACGACGATTATCGGCGTTCAATGAGTTAAATGTGGCGAAGTCACTCAAGAATTCTCACTTTTATCCGTACTGCCACAAGCCACTGGAACAGATAAGATAATAACATAATAATAATTCCGATAACTTCCCCTTACTCCTTTGCGTTTGAGAAAATTTGTCCCTTTAATCTTAACAAATGAGATCGCGCGAAGAGAGAAACATATCTATCTTATTTAGAACAACACAACTGGTGTCTTTAGCATAAGTAAAATAAGAATTATGTGTTTTATCGACGCTGAATTAAGCGCAAGAATGAGATATGCAGTTTTAACTTTCCGCCAAGTGCTTCAGCTTTTTATCTTGCATCTTGCTTTTTGCAGAAACCTGCGCCTCGCGAGAGATACCTACAGAGAAATTACCTCCAAGTTAAATTCCCTTTCTCTCTCTTTCGAGAAGACGGAACGGGACGCTCGGAATAAGTTACAAACTTGCTGGGGTAATATCGACTCTGTCTAGCGCTGAAGCGTTATGTAAGAGATCGGGAGAGACAGATAGAACGAAATCAATTTGCGTGGCTCACAATCGGCAGATTGGCGATTTGTCTTCGTCGCGTGTGTGTACATGTGCGCACGTGTGAGTCTTCGATACGGCCCGATAGCAATTTCTGTTCGTCTGGCGTCACGTTGATTACGTTATTGTAAGATGTCAATGCCCATTCTGTGTAACGAAACAAGTCAACTTGTGGCCACGCGCGCGATCGACTCAATGGACATCGTGGCCTTTGGAGAGAATAGGTTTCCAAGGCGATACCGCGATGGTATCGAAATACACAATTAAAACGGGTTCCGGAAAAGGCATGAGTCACTGTCAAGCTGCTGCAGTTGAAAATGTTCCCGTTGACAAGAATTATAATCGTCCGCGGGAGTCTTCCAATATTGAAAATAAACAAGGAATGAAAATAGAAGTTACGCAGGGAAATAAACGCGAATACACGAGTAGGTCGACCACCTGGCGAGAGCCAAAAGAAAAGAATTCAGTTTTCATTATCGCGGAATGAAGATAGCGCGAGAGGAAAAGAATTTCGGATTTTGTGCTACTTCGTGACATCCTTTTTCATTCCCACTCGTGCGACCTATCGATTGCATCACGTCTTATCGTCAAAAATTGATGAGCAGCAATAATATGATGAACATGTCGCATTGATCTTTGTCCAGAAAACGCAATTTGTCCGACAGGCGCGCCGCGAAATAAACTACTTTACGTGATGTAGCGGCCTTCAAGTTTTGGCACAATATTTTGACTACTGTTTAACGAATTAGCGCGTCCTTGCAGTGGCATAGTTAACGTTTGCGGCTTAACTGACGCTGCACTGGCAAGTCACCCTCACTTTTGCAGATAAATATACCTTCTCAAACATTAGGAGGTTTTTCCACTATGAATTGAAGGAATCTTGCGCGCGTTCGTATTTACGGAGTTAAAACCATTGCCATTATGCAACAGAAAGAATTACATCTTTTTCTTACCAATCGACAACTTGACATTAAATCACTGATATCGTTTTCTATTAATTCCATTAATTTATTCGACAGGTGCGGGACTCTAATTCGCATCAACTATGGCACAGGACAGTCCAGCTCCGAAACCTGCGGAGCAATTCAAGTACGTCTTTCTCCCATAAAATATTATTTGTAAAAAATGTAATATCTTGAAAAACAACAGATCTAAAAACATTTGAAACTGGAATATGCTAAGTTAAAAGCGTAGCAATTTTATTTTAATTTTATCTAATAAAACTGAAAAGATAAAGTTGTTAAAAAAGTAAGATTACGGATACGTTCCACCCTCTTTAGGCATATAATACTTTAGTATAAAATAATATATATTATACGTATATGTGTTTAATGTAAGCTTGTCCGTTTTTCAGACTTATACCAAAAATCATAAACGGTGGCATTGCCGGAATTATTGGAGTATCCGTGGTGTTTCCGCTCGATTTGGTTAAAACAAGATTACAAAATCAGGTTGTTGGCCCGAATGGCGAACGCATGTATAAGTCAATGCAAGTACTTTATTTAAAAAATTATTAAACACAGATATTATGCGGTGCAAATAAAAAATAATACCCTAATTATTTAATTATTACATTATTATTTTTTCTATTAATAATCAAATTATAAGTAAAGCAATTATTATATTATTCACATTGAAAGCGTTTTAATTGTACTGTATACTTTCTTGTATTTTCTTTTTTAACGTAAAGTAAATATATGTCTAGATTTTGATATAAAGAAAAAGAGACGAAATGCAAAATTGATATGTTTATTCTAATCGAATATATATAATTCTTTTCAGGCTTGATTGCTTTAAAAAGACTTACAAGGCAGAGGGCTATTTTGGAATGTACAAGGGATCCGCTGTAAATATATTATTGATCACACCCGAGAAAGCGATCAAGCTTACTGCCAATGATACATTTAGACATTATCTTTCCCTTGGGCCTGGGTATGTTGCAAACAATATATTATATAATGTATTTTTTCTATTATCAGAGGTAGAAGCTAGTGGTTATGTGCTCCTTCGTATGTGTAATATTGTCAGAACGACGGTTAATCCGTGAGAAGTGGCATGGGAATCGTTTAGTCGCATTATGCTAAAATATTTTTAAAGACAGTCATAATGTATTCATTATGTCTAGTATTCATTAACAACTTATTTTCTCATATTCCATAGATTTAATTAAAATTGGATTAATTAAATTTTTAGCATCCTATATAATATTTTTAACAATGGTATCCTTTTATTTCTTCGACAAATTGTTACTTGTTACTTTTCTTATGTATCACTTTTTCGTTTCCATTCAAAACTCTAATTTTCTCTAGCAATTATTTTCCTGCTGTATTTAAAATTTATGTATTTTGAAGGGATTTATTCAAAGTTTATGGCAAGTGGATTAGCATGAAATATATTTCAGGCGATAAAGTTTCTATTAAATTAATGGTATAAAATCTATTGAAAACTCAGGCTTTCTAATTAGTTTTTGTAAAAATAATTTAATATCTTGGCTAATTTTAAATGAAGAAAAGTATTGATTAAATTATCACATTAAATTGAAATGACGCAAGCGTCAAACTGTTATAAATATTGTAATCAACACCGCGTTAACTTGCTTAATTAAATATTCTATATATTTCCTATTTTTAATTAATAGTAAGGTATAAACAAGTGTATGTGTGTGTACGAAGCCATATCAAGTTTAAATTACGTTATTAACAACGCATGAAGCCAAAGAGTTATTGATCAGAGCAAGTTGCACGCACAGTAGACAATACATAGATAAGAATAAAGGTTTGAAATGTTACATCTCTTTGGTTTTTCTGTTTTAATAAAATTATATATATTTTGTAATATATTACAATTTCCCTTTGATACACTAAATTTGTTTCGTAAATCAGGTTTTTGTCCTAATTCGTCAGATTTTAAATATTATTTAATGCCGAAAGGTATTTGTTAAAATACAAAATTTAATTATATTGTTTAGTTAATTTTGTGGAAAGTATAATGACATTTCTTAAAAAGAAAAAACAATTGGAAAGCCCCAAAAATTAGTAATGTAATGCTGTATCGTTTGATCAGCAGAGCATCATAAAGCATCATAGCATCTTGTCATACAGCATTATAACATTTGTATGTAGAATACCTTGGAGTATATCTATCCTTGTCCCTAATCACTGTTATTAATTTGTTTCGATAACTGCTTGCATTTAACATCGACACTGTCTTCCAAGTAAATTAAACACAAAAGTGTATATTTGTTTAATGTACCTACCAAAAAATTATCAATAACTAGAAAAGAATAGTTTTATTATTGCTGTGGGTCCAGTAATAAGCTTGAAAATAGTTGCATTTTTGTTTTAATTTTTACTTTATGAAGTGTCTGACACTTTCATGATTAAATTTGCAGAATTATTGTATATTCTGCACGGTATATGTATATACGTATATGTATATATGTATACAATGTTTCTGGAATGAATTTCCTTAGTAAAAACTGATGGATTATTTTCGGTTCTTACTTGTTATTTTCATAGATATTGTAATTCTGTGATCTTGATTCTAAATTGATCAGAGCATTATTAAATTTTAAAACGACGAGCATGGCTCATTCTGTATCTCGCGAGAAAGGCAAGAAAACGAAATTGGGCTCGCGCTATTATGCCAGAATTGTGCGAGAATCTTTTATTGGTGTAAAACATATTGAAATATATTATTCTGTAATTCTAGACAGCTGAAGCTACCTGTTTGAATGTAATTTCCGAGTTAAATGACCTGGCAAACGGTGCGAACAACCGTAACTAGCTAACCAAGTTGCAAGCAATCGACGAAAGCAGGGTAATTTTTGCTTTCCCCTTTTCTTCCTTACGAAATATTTTCTTTAGTGCAATCCAAGAGTGATAATACATATAGAAGCTTAGTCAGAATTAGTCGAATAGAGTTGTTGAGAATTCGTTAAATGTCAGCTGGCAACTATAACGCAGTCAATTTTTTCATTTTAGCTTACAATTACAAATTGTAACTCATCTCATTTGTTTCATTTAAAGTAATTCTTTTGATATACCGGATACTTTCGTCTATTCATAAACAGCTCTCATTAATATATCACGTCATGCTATCGGAATCATCAATAAGTTGGAAATCAAAACAGTTTGCTTCGTTTACGTTCTTTGCCAGTGTATTTTGATGCTCTGCGGTCCATTAAGATGTTTGATATATTGCTTATCGTGCCACTAGCATTGAATGATCTCCCTTATATCAAGATTGGCATTCTGACAGTTGTTTCGGAAAGATTATTAAAGTTAATTAGAATTTCAAATAATCACACTTTACATATCCTCAAAAACTTTGATAAATCCAAGAACCTGATTTTGTTAATTAATCATGATCCACAATTGAATTGCTAACTAACGATCAACAACCGAGATGATAAAGGAAAATCAGTTTTGAGACAAACTTTTGAGCCCAAACTTGCCTTTAGTTAGAAAGGTCAACTTCGATGAAACTTCTATCTGTTGCTAACGTACCAGTCAATTGTGAAAAATTCTTCGAGAATCCACAATGCGTTTTACCTCGGTTTTTCCAAAGGCCAGCCAGTCATATGCCAGTCTTACTTCGTGTGTTAAGATCTTTTGCAATATGCCGTGATCCCAGAACTCTCTTAATCTGTTGTCCAGACAACAATTGCCAATAGAACGTGAAATGCTTGCCGGTGGCTTGGCAGGAGCATGCCAAATAATCGTTACCACTCCGATGGAACTGCTTAAAATACAAATGCAAGACGCTGGCAGAGTCGCCATGGCAGCTAAGGAAGGTGACAAAAACAGTCAATAACTTGTCAAGATGTCTTCTTCGCGGCTTGTCGAACGCAGCGAGATTATTTACGGGCGACTATTCATCCAAGTCCTTTGTTGTTATTGCGTTATTAACGATTTCGCAATTTCAAGCATCAGACGCGCACTTCTTATTTGTTGCAGCTTTTATGATGTTGCCATGGGCGACTATTTTGTGAAATTAGAAATTTACACGGGTATACGGTATCGAGACAGAAATGTAACGCATATTGAAACAGCTGTGAGATTTAATTAATTAATTAAAGCGTTTAATTTTCCGGTATACGTATGGGAATAATAAATGGAAATTAGAAGTAATTAATCAATTTGCTCGTGAGCCGAAGGTCTCTAAAACGTAGAAATGTGTATCCATTTTACAATTATTACGCTTGTGCTTATGGCGATAAATTGTATAACGCGTTACTGTTGCAGCGGGTAAAGCAGCGCCAAAGGTATCCGCTTGGGCGTTAACGAAAGATCTATTTAGGAAGCGAGGTATACTGGGGCTATATCAAGGGACCGGCGCCACTGCACTCAGAGACGTTACATTTTCCGTTATTTATTTCCCACTGTTCGCCAGACTGAATGGTCTCGGGCCAAAGCGGGAAGACGGTTCATGTAAGTACTGACATGTACTGATTGTCATGCACGATCGTTCCTAACGAACATGTAAGATTAAATAGTAACAATATCGCTTCATTAGCCGTATTCTGGTGTTCATTCCTTGCCGGATGCGCCGCCGGCTCTACGGCCGCATTAATGGTGAATCCATTCGACGTAATCAAAACTAGACTGCAAGTTATCAAAAAAGCACCTGGTGATCCAACGTACAATGGAGTATGGGACTGTATATCGTGAGTCCATTGGAATTAAATATCCGCTTATTCGTTCGTTTAGTTGTTTGCAAAATTACATAATCTATCAATTCGGGCACATTTATATCTCAAATCGTAATAAGTATATAATACTAAGGTCTTATAATAATTACTTCCGGCTTGTAGGAAGACATTTAAAAACGAGGGATCTACGGCGTTTTTCAAAGGCGGCGCTTGCCGAATGATTGTCATAGCGCCGTTGTTCGGAATTGCACAAACCGTCTATTATCTCGGCGTGGCTGAGTGGCTGCTGGGATTGAAGTGAAATCGCCATATCGCCGATTCGTGCCGTTCAATTCTCTGGGAAACTGACAATAATCGTTGTAGATCGTAGTTGTATTTTTGCTTGAGATTTTTGCTCTCCGTCGTCGTAATACGGATGTTGCTGTTAAATGAGATTTCACGATCGCTTATATGTAACAAAAAGTAAGAAAGAATACGTTAATTGAAATTATCGTGATTTTCGCAGGTCGCGAATTATGACAGATTTATATATAACTGAATGAAATATATCTTTATCTTTTATGTCCATATCCGTAAAGTGCATTAAAATTACTAATCAAATACAACGGAATCAATGTACGTTTCGTCTAATACATTGTGTTCTTGCAACGCAGAATTATATCGCTGCGTTGACGAATGTATTGAGACATCGAATTATTAGGAAAACATGGAATTGCAAATATTTCGCAGCTGTACCAATTACATGTTATTCAATTTGTAGGTCGTTCATGCATTTTTTCATAATAATAGCGTTTCTTCATCTCTTCCTCGTATCTTATAGACTCAATAAATTGTATGCGAGTTCCACGAAATATGTTCGTTGATAGACATACGTCGAGATCATCGTTATTATATCTACCAGACTAGCCAATTATAGTCAATTATATGTATACATTAAAGATATTAAGCAGACTCAACGTGATATTTTTAAAATAGTTTACGTTAAGCATAATAGAATACCTTGGCATAATAGAATATTTTGTTAAAGATCATGTTTGTTACCTAGTTTTCTTAATTTTAATCTCATGTCACGAATAAGCAATCTTTATGGCCATATGTAATATAAATTATAAATAAAAATATTACAGAATCTTTAAAGCAACTGTAATTGTGCTTCTTTGCATTTATATGTTTCTCACTTTTTAATACTATTCAATCCTGGGTTGTGGTAAGTTTTTTCAAGCTACTAATTATTGATATAAATACAGGCGCATAAAGATGAACATAAGAAATGTATTTGCTCTTTAACATTTCAGAGGAAAGAAATAATTCATTCTTTTAATTTCACATACTTAAGACAAGCCTGTTTAGGAAGATTTAATAAGTATAGCAAAAGTCCATGTATGTTAGATATTGAGGAAAATATGTGCACAGAGAAATAAGTTATGTATGAAACTCCGTGATAAAGTTCGCGCGAGGATCGATCTGAGGAAAACGAAAGAGAAAGTACATCTTTTGCTGAACAACCCAAGCTTTTGGCAGTATGAATAAAAACTCTGAACTTCAGTGTATAAATGAAGGAAACGAACTTGTGAATTAGTTGTTCACAGCCAAGGGGTCGAAGGTTTGAAAGAGAAAGCCAGAACCTTGGAATATACACAGAACACATTACACGTATCTTGGCTGTGAGAATGAAGCGTGACTCTTGCACACACGCACGTCTCACATCACATAGACTTGCGAAGATATAGTTAATTTATTATGTGCGCGTACTAATGATCGGAATATTACGATCGGATGCAACATTCTGTTGTTAACATCGCACGCACTTTGTTACGTTGCGAACTAACGTTATGGAGAAATAACACGAAGAAGCTCCGATCGCACGTGAAACGGTGACCATTAAACACGAATCTCAAACAATAGAAGATTTAAATAACCACATTGTATAAATGTCGAATTCACAGCATGCGATTATTACAGTTATCGAAGCACCGAATAGTATCACAATAGTATTTCGATAGATAACCTTCATTAACGAGAGTTAGCACGTGACTAACGTTAAATACTTCCCGTCGCGATCGCGGCTCGAGGAGCAAGGCGCCGCTGTCCGTTCCATTCGACTGTCTGAGTGATAATACCAAGACTCTGGCGGTCCTCGGTACGCCGTGTAATTGTTCACGTTATTCGGGCGTTGAGCGTGCCATGAATTCCAGGACTTGTTTACGACAGGCGTTTCGCAGAATTACCTGTTCGGCGAGGCGCGCGTGGGAAGCACGTGTTCACGTGTCTTCTCGCGGTCTTTCGAAACTCGGTCGCGAGTGGTACCGGGAGATGCGCAGAGTCAGACGTTATACGAAGGATCAGCGATATTTAAACAAAATTGTTAAGCTTGTCAAATATTCATTTATCATGTAGGAATTATCATACATGGTTTTGTTTCAATCGTAGTCGTTCCTTGATAAAAAAAAGAAAGCAAGATTTGTGACGGGTTAAAATGTTTAGTTTTGTTCGAGGTTTGTTTTGCTTCTTGTAAATGATCACATTGGTCCTTATATAATAAATCCTACAACCTCGCTACGGTACCGCGAGATGAATTGCATACATTTAAATTTAATACTCATGAATAATGATCGCGTCAATAATAAACTTACACTTACTTATGCTACTCTCTTTCGTTTAACAGTACCTATATGTAACGTTACTCTCTGTCGTACTTTGTCAACAACAATATAATTTGTTTACGCTTTAATTCGTGATACAAGAGTGTATTGGCATACGATGACACAGATTATTTGTGATCTAACAACGCTAATTATTAATATAAGTTTTTTATGATATCTCACCTAATTCTAAGAAGACCATTTGGTTTATTACTAATGACGCATAATACAGTTTACAATAAATAATCATGGGCGTGCCCGACTGAAAAAAAAAGAATATTTTTCTTAAAAACTTCTGAAAAATTATTAAATATCCAGATATCCTAAGTAATAATAAGCCCATTGATATCTTTAATTTCACCATGTAAAATTTTCTTTCTTTACAATTTCGAATAATTTATAGAAACGTAATGAAAGCTGCAGTTTCTTATACTTATTTCACTTACATTAATTATATTTTATAATAAAATATCGATGATGATAATCATAGTAATATTTAATAATATATAACATAATAAAATCACATTATCATATATTATTAACTTTTTGTATAAAAAAATAATAAAAAATGTGGAGTCAGGCACGCTCCATTCGCTTGTTGAATAACAATAGAGAATTTTATTTATTAATCATTATCACATACGTCAGTAATGTAGATAGAATTGTCGCACAAATCAAAAGCGTTTTCTATAATCTGCTTAAAGAATAAGTGGTAAGTATTGTAAACTGTTAAATACTCTCGTTACGATACTTATGTTGACGTTTTTCGCGATAACTTTGTAAAATTGCTTTCTCTTCCACTTCCCTACTCTTCGGGTGTTGATATTTCCAGCAAAAACGCGAAAATATAATTAATATAACTGTACAGATTTTACCTGGTATATGGTCGACTGAGTATAGTTACGTTACATTGCACTTATATCTTATCTGTCTTGAAGAATCGTTCTTATTATATACTAACGTTATTTTTATCAAACGCATATGTAATTTATGTACCATTATTGAAGATGATACATAAAGATATGGTATGATTTCTTACGTACATATCAAAAAAGATAATTTTGTAAATTATCTATTTTGTTATAATAAAATAATTCTCTATTTCGTAATACAAAATGTGTTGCCCGTAGAAAATACTTAAGTACTTCTTCGTAAAGGTAAAAAACGATTTGTCCGTTAATATCTTCAGGACTTCCTTACATAAACTGAAAGTTAAAATTTTTTTGTCGTGTTGGAAGGCACAGTATTTTTCGTGATATTATGTCTTAGCTAACGTAACTTCGTGTCTTTTTGTTATCTACGACATTGCACGGCTCATTTCTCTGCGTACCTCGATAGATTCATTAATTCATCCTAATATAATAAGTCTTGCATCAGGATACACGTTAACTGCAACATACAACAATATTCCTACTGAGCTACATCTCGTCGGGACTGAAAAAGGGGATATTCGACGTACACTCGAGATATTGCAAAAATAAAAAAGAACGGTTTATAATTAACGTTGTGTTTTCAAAAATATTAATGCTCGTGTGTGAGGGACAAGGATGAACCATTTCTTGTTCTTAAAGTACAAGTCATACGCTGTATTCTTCGGTTCTTTTTTCCGGGCGAATTCTTCGCCTGTACTCACCTCATATTGTAATGATGAACCGGCTTTCGGTAGAGTTCGAAAGCGCTTCCTCTCTGTTCTCGACTACCAGCCAAGTCCAGACCGCTGGGTTCCCTATTGTGTCCAGGATTAGCGGAGAGATAGAGCGACCCTGCGGGAGCGTGGTTATTACTGTGCATATATCCATTGTGATTCGTGCTGTTCCGGTTATGCGTCAGACCGAGACTGATTTGGCCAGTGCTGTTGCTGTGGGAATGCGTGGTGGTCACTGGCGGGCTCGAGTGAGAATGCGTGTGACTGAGGCTGTGGCTGTGCGTCGGCGACGTCAGATGACTTAGATTGTGATGCGAATTCACGATATTGCCCTCGTTGTGACGGCCAGGCGGCGGGATGTTGTAGTAATACTGACCGCTGTTGCGCTGCACACTGCTATTACTTTCTACCTAAATAAAGATAAAGATTCGAATAAAATCGGAATGTGATCTCGTAGCTGATCGGTATGATCGCGTTTTGCTTTTAATTGCAGATATTATTGATAATAATGTAACGTGCAAGTATAATAATGTAAAGAAATAATAATCGTGTTTACAGAATTATTACAATTTATAAAATAATTACCCCGTTATGTACATGCGATGTAGCGATGGAATAGCTCTTCGAGTGTTGGTACGAATTACTCCCGTCATTCCCGTTGTTCTCCGTTTGTCCAAGAGATGCTTGCGGTGGTCTGTAATTCTTCGGCTTCGGAGGCGGAATTGGTTTATAGGTGCCTGCCGGTTTATTTTGCGAAACTGGTACTGATTTGTAGTCGGTAGATCGGCTGTGGAACAGTAAGAAATGATAATATCTCGTATTAACTTTTATTCAGACCAATCACAAAAAGAGAATTTGATGGGGAAAAAAATCAAAAAGATTTGAAATAAATCTGTATAAGATTATAAGATTATTCTGTGCAAGAAAAAAGATGACTGCAAAACAAAGAATTCATTACAAAATTTTTATTTCAGAAAGAAAGATATATTGCAAGTAGCTCTAAAAGAAAAAGATGTGTAGCAGTAAATGTAGTTTAATTTGTTGGATGTGTCAAGCACATACCTGTATTTGGCATAATCAGTTCGCGTCTGAGCGTCATGCGTGGAAATGGGCTGAGCTGTAGATCTAGTGAATCTATATGGATCGTGCGCTCTCGCTGGCATATTGCTGCTTTTGAGATCATCTGGTACATTCGGGCCTAAACGACCTGTCGACGTGTTCAAATTTGCCATTCCGTAGTTTGCGTTCCCGTTAGTGTTGTTGTACGAATCGTATGAAGACATGCTGTCGTAACTTCCCTGTGTAAGAAAGCATAAGTATATACCTTATGATGAAATAGCGCGCTTTGAATTACGCACAAGAAAGAAATATCGCTTACCGCTTTCGGCTGTGCCCGTTCGAGGGATGATGTGGCATTTGCTTTGTGAGGGGTTGCATTGATGTAATTCCCCATATCTAGAATTGAGTCGGTTTTATTCACTCCTAGACGTTCTTGAGCGGACCGCCCTATCGTTCCCCGCGGCGTATGATTAATCGGTTTCGCATTTCGATCAACTCGAGGTGGCAGATCCGGTGGGCTATGATGAGGAGATCTAGGTTCGAAGGAGCTGCCCAGATATTCCGGCGAACCGGATTGATTGCTCCTTTGACCGGATAAGGAGAAGCCATACTTGCTGTCAGCGCCCATTCCGCCTTGGGATCTTCTCTTCTGCTGCTCGAATGATTGCTAGAATCAAATATATTCATTAATTGTGCTCGATAATTTTCGAAATCATTTTTTCGTACAATTTGCAAAATTAATTATAAATTCACTTGGTGAATTTTCCAAGAAGTTTGTGATCTGGATCTTGTTTAGAAATTTACTGAATATAAATGAGTCCTGTATTTTGATCAACGGTTCGAATTAAAATAAAGTAAAAATAGAATAAAAGATTTGTTACATTAATTAAAAATCTGCCGAGAATCTGTTAGTTCACGAGCGTTTTTATAAATAACGTTTGTGTACGAGAAAACGTTTAAAATGTTTTATTTCCGTCCACAGTTAAAAGAGATATCTATCAGGTATTATACATTTCTGTTTATGTAAATCACGTCCAATGCATATAGTAAGTAATTGAACGTATCTAAAAGTATACATTACCTGATAATTTGTCGAGTATGGTGGCGGTGCAGTAGTATCGTCTTGAGTGGCAATGCTCGGATCGGAACTACTTTTTAGCCGTGACGGTGGACCCAAAGTGCCAGGGATAACAGGCGCTGGGCTCAGCTCCAGATCGCTCTCCGGAGAGGAAGCGTAGGAGAGGCGAGAAGTCATCGGGAATAGGAAGTCATCCGAGAGGGCTTCTTCCGGCTACGAGCGTAGACCACAGAGGACATCACGTTAGGTAAATGGTACATACGACACGTGAATTAATAATCAGACGATACAATGAGTTTGGATATATTATGGCCAATAAAGCGATGAATGAATTATTACATTTGTATGAGCATTTTGTATGGCATTGAAATTAAATTTGTAGTATGCATCTTAAAAGCAACAACTTGGAATGTACATACAACTGTAGTAAAGTAAAAAATATTAGCATGATGAAACGCATTCTTAGGCATGCAAGACACATGTAGAACAGATTGCATCTTTTTTAAGTAACTTGCATAAGACAGTAAAGTACTTACAAATGTTTATGATAAAATGGAAAAGGAAAAAACAATTTTATACTTAACTTATTAAGTATATGTTTTAATAACTTTTCAAGTTATTTGCTAATTAGTATATAAAATAACTTTAATATCTTATCTTTAAGTTATATCAATACTTTAAATTAAAATTTACTTTTAATTTAATTTTTTCTTTTTTAATTGAATTATAAACAAAAATACTTAATTTCTTCAAGTATTAACGATTAACACTGGGAACTTCAACTGACAATTTTAAGAAAAGAAAACAGATTATTAGATTACAGTCATGCAAAGTGGAGGAATGCAGGCACAGAGTAGAATTAAACCCTTCAACTGTTTCAAACGAATATACTGGTCTGTTGACTTAATCGTTACGGCCATGTTTGTATGGTTTAATGTATAATTGCTTTAGTGATTAATTTATATACATATATATCAATTATATAACATATACCGCATATGTATAGCACCTGTATGAAGTATTGAGACAAATTGATTTAGAAGTTAATTGATAGAGAGTGTGTCAACTGCTAAGATATTACGATATTGATATTCCACGCACATGATAATATAATATTCCGTCTTTTGCAGTTAAAGGGTTAAAGTAAGCAGGATTTATATATAGCCGAAAAATTGCTCACGGATGACACTTGAATTTGGAGGTTGCGGGAGCGGAGGGAATTTTTCCATGAAAGATGGTGTTGATGATTGATGATGTAACAGAAATACGTCGTGATTCTTATTCTCGTCGTAATACACGTTATCATTGGGGAGCGGAGGAGGTGAAAGAGCGGGAAGTGGAGAATGAGTGTGTATAGACGGATGCGATAGGTCCCACACCGTGTATCGGCTATATATTGGCTACAATGAATAAACCCAAATTATACCGTACAATGGAGCATATATATGTATATATATGAGCAACGAAGAAAGATCGTGACATTTATGAGAAAAATGAAAACAGAGAAGAGAAAAAAGAAGTAAAAAATCACCCTAACAGATAGATATATCTCAGTAGTTTTGTTCTGGCATTTTATATAGTTGAAGTAAAACGGAAGAAAACAGCATTCTGCAACACAATTTGTACGTTGGCTCGAATTGCTTTACCTTAGTTTGACTCATCCACAATGAACCTTGCTGCTGACGGTCGATAAGCTCTCTCAGCTTCCGGTACCAGGCTTCCGGTGCATTGAGAGTGATTACCGCGCTAAATACATGTCCCCAGATCTTATCGAGCTTTTGGCATTGCTCCAAAAGCTTTTTACTGCTTTTATGCGCTGATCTGTAATCATATGTTGCATGTAGAATTTGGCGAATGACGAAACGGAGATGTCATCACGCTTTCTTACTTTGGTATACCAGCTCTCATCTCTTTAATGACTTGTTTCGTCTCGGCCTTCAGGAAAATAACGATCGGATAAAATTGAGCATAATTTAAGCGATCCACGGCATTCGGAGTGATGTCAAGCAACGCGTGCTTTCCTCTATCCATTACTTCCCTGATAGCGCTTAGGCGAATAATGCCAGATGTTTTGGTGTTCTTTCCAGTACCATCCTCCATTTGACTTTCCATTTCTACAAAATATTTAATATTCAGCAATAACAAAAGTATTATATTCGCATGAAAGTTTATTAAAAAAAATTAATTCAATGTATATCATTCACTTACGTGGCGAGGTGAATTTATCAGGGAAATCCTTGAGTAATTTTTCCCTGGCAAGATCAGCCACGGGACCAAATAGAACGACAGGTCTGACAAATCCAGGATGTCTTAAAATCACGCGTTCGTAAGCCGGAAATTTGCTGACGCTATCAGAAAACACTACATCGTCCCAATGATCCTGAAAAGGTGTAAGCATGAAAATGATTAATCTAATTAAGTATCTTTTCGATCTAATACTTATAACTTCGAAAACAACAGTATTTAAACAAATATATAAGTGAATAGAGAATTTGTTGTAAAATTTCTTGAGAATTCGTACCCTTCCTAACGACTTGGAGCGTCTGTGACTGTTTCTTCTTCTCCTGAAGAAGCTACCTCTGTTCTCGCTGGCACTCATCTCTTTCTTCGTCGCGTTGAACTGCGCAGTTGCAAGCTCCTCAGCTCGGGCCTTATTAGGTATGATGCCTTTTTGTACCTCTTGATTGTTTCGTCCAATTCGAAAAACCTGCCAGGATCCTACGACGCCATTGTGAAGAGTGTCTACCACGTGAAAAACATCGCCGCTGCGAAAACTCATCTCTCCTTTTTGCGGTTGCTCATAATGGAAGTGAGTTCTGCACATTTTACAAAAAATATACCATCTTTAGTCCACTAATAAAATTAAATTTAAAACTCTAAATAAAATTGTATTAATCATACAATACGGTTAAGATTGCAATTAAAAAATTTGTCTGTTTTTATATTAACATTCATTTCCATCTTAACATAACAGAATTATCAAAATTGTTATAAACGTTACTTACTTTATGTGAAAAGAGTCGCCTCTGCCAGACGCAACGATTTGGTCGTATTCCTGACGTCGATGTTGCACGATAAGATCGATTTGTTCTTGCAAGCTAAGAAGGAATAGTACGGCTTCTTCCCTCGTGACCTCCTTCATATCCATATCATTTATCTATAGTAAACATTTTTCTTTTGCAAAATTTTCTCTTTCAATATTCAGAATTCGTTCAGAAATCTGAATATCTTTTAAAGATCTTTAAAAGGTGTTTGTAGAATCTTTACACTAAAATATCATATTCAAAAATGTATATTCTCTACATTTTACTTTAATAAAAAAATTTCTAATTAGAATTACTATTCCAATAAAAAAATTCTTCCGAGATAAAAGATTTTCATTGTTAGATTTATTGTTGATAGCATTGGCTTTACTTTAATTTATTTCGTCATTTTTGGAGATCTTTAAAGTCTTAAATACGAGTCTACTTTGCTTAAAATATAAAATAAGTAGCAACGTGTGTTTCTCACGAGTTATGTAACTGACTTTTAGAATTTTATCCCCCGGCTGAAGACCCTGAAGCGATGCAGGACTTCCCGCTTGAACTGCAGTTACAAAGACCCCGGTTTCATTGCCGCCGCTTAATCGCACGCCTACAGATCCCTCCTTTTGGAATGTAATAAATCGAGGATCCGGCCTGCACACACGTAATATCAAAATTAATATTTGCGTTGATTGATCGCAAGAGATTTAACAAAAGTTTGTTTACTTACATAGGTTGTTTTGTCCGAGGCGAAATTGAATCTTCATCATACAATTGTCTACGCGTACTGTAATAATCTATAAAATGAAATAGCATATTAGTAAAATTTTCCAGGGTCCTACCCTTGATTAAAAAAAATAATAGTAACGTAATTTCATGTAAACTACGTATTTCATAAAGCAGAAAATCATAAAATATTATATATTATGAAAATGGAATTCGAATTTTAAAAAAGATTGGACATGCCGCAGTTTTCGATAAGAAAATAATGAATTTAAGATTGATAAAAAATGAATAAAATATATCTGTACTTATTAAAGATTCATTTAGAGTCCTATTCGGATGGGAAATAATAGAAATACGCTTGTACTTGAATCGCAACGCGTACCTTCCGGTCTCGGTGGCGGCGGTCTGGGTGGATCTACTGTAGGCGTAGCTGGCAGGTCCAGCTGGCTCAAAGACACGTCCATCAGCGGACCCCGCGAGCGACCCCTCGGCAAGAGGTTACTCTTGTCCTCGGACTGCCTCGTGGGTGGTGGAACGTACAAATTCTGACTACTGTAACTTGCGCCCGACAGGTATTCACCGCTATCCCCTTTACCTTGCTGCTGTACATGGCAACACGTGCTATCCCGCGTAATTACAATCGAGAGTCTGTCTCTGTGCTGGTCCATCAGCTTTCTAGCGTCTTTCAGACTCAGATTGTCGGCGGCGGAGTTGCCTATTCGGGTTAATACGTCCCCGGTTTTCACCCCGATATTCTCTCGCGTAACCTCCTTTACGTACAATCGACATCCCAGTGTTATGCCGAAATCTAGAGATTGAAACGGCAAATCATTGTATACCTTGCAAGGAAGATACAGATCATAATAAAAGGGTAAACAAAAAATAACTTAAATTGAATTGAATTAGATTAATAAAATTGCTTTGACTGCGAAAAGAACAGAGACATCGATTGCCATATGTTATACAATATTACTCGAAGCTCTGGGGGTCATCGCGTGATTGTTGCACGCCGTCTAATTACGTACCATCCTTTTTATTGTTTCGCGTGAGTGTGAGCCGATGACTCTGGGGTACTCCGCTGCCTAAACAACCGGGTGAATTCGAGGAAGCTCTTCGTTTAACAACTAATAAAACGGTAGAACCGGAATCCCGGAGGACTCGGACGGCTGCCCCGTAATCAGCGCCTTCCAACGATATTCCATTGGCGGATATGATACGGTCGTTCACTCTATAAACGATATATACACTCTTAAATAATAATTTTGATTTCTGCTAACCGTTGGGATTATGCCAAATTAAAATTAAAACCTAGCGAATACGAAATTGTACTTCAAAAAATAGCCTAAAGGGTACTATTCTTGAGCCACTTTGTAGTTGATAGCCATTTTCACTTTATAAGCAATTTAAACTAAAAAATTGTCATATAAGTCAAGTTTTAATTAATAATTACAACGAGAGAATATTAATAAATATGCGATGTTACAAGAGACTAAAACTAGCAGATTGTAAAAACCTTTCTAGACTAGAAGAAAAACATTTCAGTGTAGATATAACGCGTGTTAAAAAGAGTTTACTGTGGGTGAACTTACTGTAATTTTCCTTCGGCTGGACCGGCTTTGAGCACATCGGAGATTGCGATTGCTGGATCACCATTAATGAAATGAGGATTATCGCGACCTCCTGACACAGCTATTCCAAAACCATAACCGGGGACTCTGGTAACCGTAACGTGGTGAATCTCCCATCCTCTATCACCACTCTAAAATTACAAAGAAAACGTGATAACGTTAAAAATGTCAATGACGAAATCAATTTTAAATATATCATAAAATATAATCGTTTCAAATGAGTGCTTACATTAATTCAAAATTGCGAAAATATTTCTCCAATTAATTCCTATATAGTCTTTTTACTTTAATGATATTTTATTCACGTATGCACGCGATAAAACCAGCAGGATATAAACCTTAGGTATTTAGAGTGGTCAGTTATAAACATCTTCTTTGCAGATACGCCTAGTGATACGATCGCTACGGTCAGTTGACGTACTATCGTGAAATGATCACAACAATATTATGCCGAAAGGCACACTTTCACGTTCTTACATCATCTCTTAACAATGCCAAACAGAGATAAGCACAGTTATGAATCGTATATTTAAATAAGATAGTATCGTGCAAATATCAAGACATGCTGTCGTGTCACACGGCCAGACAGCACCTCAAATCAACGTTTCCCGATGACTGTAGCGGAAGATCATGGCGTAAAGTTTTTATTTCTACGTCACAAACAAGAATATTATCAGCTGAATTTTATAAATATTCATCGAGCAACGTTATGAAATTTAACGATACGCCGTAATGCGATAAATAAACATTTTATTTCTACGCGCACACTAAGACAACGTTTAACCAGCGATTAGAAGACGACAGGATCGCCTAATTAAAGGTCACAATTAATTTTCTACGCACGTGGAAGCGAATACAATGGTGCAATTACTACACGTATGTACCGCGGAGCCACGTGTATCCCTAGTTCCGCGGCGTGTTCTCGTCGAAATGCGCGTCGGGTAAATTAACGATAATCATCACCGGGCACCGAAACACGATAATTAGATTAATTTCGGCGAGGCGGTAACAATGAGCCGTGCGTGACCGGCGCATTCCATCGTTAAAACGCGCCCGAGTCCCGCAATTCGCCGCGATAAATTTAGCCCCCGCCAGACTTGTGAATCACTTGAGAGCACGTGTTACGGCAGATCCTCTCCTGCGCGGGAAAGCGATCGATGGATAATCCAATACCCCGTATCAAATGGCAGAGTTATCGCTCTCGTGGATACGCGACACGTAGCGAGGGTATTTCCAATCCCGTATACGATCAGGTACGGTATCCTGCGCAGGGATAGGCTTGAATGGAAGTAATAGTAGCGATAGCGAGAGAGAGAGAAGGAGAAGGAGAGAACAGATCTTAATAAGCATCCCCGTTATGAACCGCGGTCGATCGCTCGACTTTTAGGCTTAACTGTTTTCAGTGATAATGCACCGATTAGACACTGACGCGTCTTCACAAATGGTACCGGTGCATATCGCGCGGCAATCCTTCACGAGACCGTCGAGTCTCGAGCTCAAACGCTAATTCGATCTCGGCGCGCGTGTCGCGGCGAGATGGATCGCTACGATAAGATCAGCGAGATCTCACTCGAATTCGCCAACATTATTCGAGGACGAGGTAGGACCGCGCAAATATTTACACGGTCCCACTGTATCGGACTTAGAGATCTCGGGATGTTGCTACCTGGCCGTCGAACCCGCCGGAGGAGTTGTGCATTGTGCCGTGGGTCGACGAGGTGGAGTTCGGCGGGGATCCGGAATTTCCCACGTGACAGCCCACGCCGATGCCGCTGCTGCCTCCACCGCCGCCGCCGCCGCCGCCGCCGCCGTTTCCGCCACTTCCGCCGCCGACCCCGACGACGTTGTTATCGCCCCTGTCCATCCTCTTGCCGCGAAAAAGACGTTCCCTATCCTCGCGTGCGCGTCAACCACCAGGACGATTCTCTCACGGGCCGCTCCCTCGCGCACTTCCGCCGATCATCCGCGATCCCTCGAGCATCTCCTCCCTCGGACGTCGCCCGCGCTTTCACGTGAAGCCACGTGGGTTCGATGTGAAATCGATTTCGCGTCGCGGACCACTCCGTCGCGATCGCATCCTTGCACGATCGCGCGATCGATGCCTGGCCCCCCCGAGTCTCGCGCAAAGACGTTAAACGGAAAAACGTGATTGTGCGGCGACCATCGACTTTACGGTCCCTTCGTCATCAACGTTTTCCGTTGGAGAGGGAAGAACAGGGTTGACGCTCGAATATCCCATGTGAATAGCGGTGCCTCTTGATGTCCCTCCTCGTGGAAAGTAATCTCGAACACGTTGCTCCGGAATCTGTAGAGATCAATTTGCGTACTGCCTTTCTGTCGTTCTCCTCCGACGTTGCGCAACACTAATGACCAACAATGATTTTGCCGTCTCCTAGATTTCGTTATTACTCGCGCTCTTTCGAGAAAAAACGTCCACTTTCCCTCCTCTCTTCTCAACGCGCGATTATTTGCACCGTTTCGTAATATTGGCAAGATCGACGATGACGCACGAGTACACAGCGCGAAGAATCCCGCTTATTATAGATAATTGGCAAAACTCGTAGAGCAAACAGTTAGGGGCGTTTGAAATACAGGGACTGGAATGGTCCGAGTCTTGGCCTCGGAGAGAAAACGCCCTTAATACGCATTGCTTCGGTCCAAGTGTAACGTAAATTTTTACAACTGACTCCGCAGCTCGTGGATATGCAAATACTTGGCGATTTCTCCGAATGCCGTGCGGGTACGCCTCTCTCTTTCTCAGACTTGATTCGAGATCGCCTGTGATTCCAAAGGGAGAAATGGAAGAAACGCGCTCGCGTCACCAGCCGGGACAAGACACATCTCGCGGACGGCGGACCTCGTGGTCCGAGATTCGCGACTGACCCGTTTTTCTCCGCCGCGTCGCCAATTTCCCTTCCTCGTTCGCGCCGTTCTCCGCGCGCGAGACTCGACACTCGCTCCCGTTCGCCTTGCTCGGTCACGCAGCCACGGCTTCACGACACACGGCAGCCTCGTCGTTCCGTTCGTGCACGCCTCTTTTTCTTCCCTCGCACGCCGGGCTTCGGACGCGACGTAGCGTGAAGCGCTCGATTTCGTTCGGAGACCACGCGGCCCTCCGACATCACGGAGGCTCCCTCGCTGCCGCCAAGCGACTACTTCCAGCGATTCGGACCTAAATTCCGAGCTAAATTTTCTCCCCTTCCTACCAATATTTCTCGGTCAACCGGCAACATCGACCAAATGCACAGACGCACGTGACGCTTCAATGCATATTGCAAAAAATGTCTTTTTATGAATAAGTTTGTCGATTAACGAGCAACTCGGAAGAAAGAAGAAAAGGAACATTGGAATCCCGCGGGCAACAAAGAACGTTCGAAATACTCCAAGTATTTTGCTTATGATATTCTTGTGACGTAATTTGAATAAAAATTGATTTCAACAGCGACGATCGTTGCCCGTTTTAGCTCTTTGGGACTAAGAATGCTTTTCTTCCTTTACTTCATTGATCATTGTCGCCCTCGATCGAGAGAAGAAAACCATCGACCGCATTGAATGCACATTCCAATCGCAGGACGCTTCTCAAGTCAATTATATCGCTTCTATTCCCACGATTCACAGAGTAACGTTCCTTTCTTTATTCACCGAGATTTCTTTTTCGAAGGAGAATCCTATCGGCCGATTGTCTAGCGGTAGACGAATATACTCCTTCAGTTGACGCAATTATACGAAGAGACACTCGATGCCGGACTGAAAATTATCCGCGAATTGTGCGAATATAATTAAGAAATGGTTCCCCTTGGTGCTGTGCGAACTCGGATCGTCTTCTGACGAGTCTTGTCGATATTACGAAACGGTGGAAATAATTAGGTGTGTTTCGATCTAAATAAGTAAAAGGGCCAACATCCATTCCGATTGTTGGTACGTCGAAAGGCGACGAGCGAGCTTTATATATAACTACGACGGCCCTTTCCCGAGGAACTTCTCTCTTTCGCTTCTCCGTCACGCGGCAGCACAGAAATACACCGCGCCCCGCGTCGCCGGCGTCGCCGGCGACCGGAAGCGCATTTCCAAAAACTCGCTGAAGGCCGCCGACACAAAAACAGGTTCCCGGGCGAGCGGCTACCCGCGCCACGGTTGCCCGAAACGAAACCGCCTAAACCGGACCGCGATTTAAATCGCCGACGCTCGGACCGCGGACGACCTCGGCTCGTCTTCGATCGCGATCGACGCGCGATCGCATCGCCGTCGAGGACGCGCCCCGAACCCGGGCGGAGTTGCGAGACTCTCGAGACCACGATTCTAGCTCTCCCGAGATCGCAATTGGGTTTCGCGTTTACGAGCGTGGACCGCGTACCGTTCTCCTCTCGTGAATCGAGTACTACGCGACGGACCGACCGTAACGAAGATGCATGTTGAATCGATCGTAACGTGCTCGGTGATCCTCCAATGATTTCACGTCCGCGATACCGATATATCGGCACACTGTCTCCACACTGTGAATCGCGCGCGCGCGCGCGCGTACACAGACACACACAGACGTAGCACAGCGTTCCGCGGACGCAGATGCACGCAGATGCACGTCTCTCGTGCCGCACGCGCGTGCACACGGCCTTCGCGTGCGTACGACGATCGAGCAGCGGTAGCCGCCTTCGCGCACCCTCCCAAGATCGTCCTTTACCTCTCGCCACCGTCCGAGAACTGTTTTCGCAAACGGCAACTAGTACCGATGGACACGACGAGGGTCCTGCTAGCCAGGCGCGAAAAGAAAAAGGAAATTGCGTCCTGGCGTCGAACGCGTTCGGTTACTCTATCGCCAGGCCAGGTCGACTGGCCGAGGACTGCAGGGACGCAGAAGGACGGAGCGCGAGAGATGGAGAGAGAGAAAGAGAGTGGGGAAAGGGGGGAGATGGAAGAGAAGAGAAGGGCGAAGAGGAGGATTGGGCTCGAGAGCGTGCCGACACCGGTTTTGCCTGGTCGGCTCGCTTAGTTGGCAAGACTACAGGTAGAGGTCGGCTTCGACATCTTACCCCTTTGCGTGTATGCGTGGGTGAGCGTGTGGGCGCGTGTGTACGAGCGTGTACGCACGCGGGGCCCAAGCTATGAGACATTAACTGGAATATGACACACCTTA